AGAAATCGGAGCTAATTAATTCCATACAAATACTATAGCTTGGAGAATACAGAGAAAGTAAATAAATAAATAAACTATTTCTTAGGAATTCAAAAAAATAAAAAATAAAAAAACTCTTAACCCAAGTATCATTAGCATCCCAACAACCAGAGGCGGTGTCAGAATTTTATTTCAAAACTAAAAATGTTAAAAACACTAATAATATTAACTCTTAATACTATTAATTAGTTGAAAAAAAATGTATGTGCATATTGATTAGTTTATTGAATTTTTTTATATATACGTGAAAAAAAATTTTAAAGAGAAAAGTGCAAGTTTTAAAAAAGTTATTTATTACCCCAACAGAAGCAAATTAAAGCAAAGTGGTTTATGAGCAAATAGTAAGTGAGAGGGTTACTTAAAAAACTACTTAATTATGGATACATTTGAGAATTATAATTTTATTGGGTTATTTATTTATTTATTTTAGGTGAGGCTCACTTTTGATACAATAAAGATTATATTTAAAAAAATATTTTAAAAGTGGCAAATTTGAAAAAAAAATAAAAGTTTTAATTAGAGTAAAGTAAAAAATTTCAATTAAATACATTTAAAAGTATAAGATTTAATAGGAAAAAAAGTTTAGATTTTGGTTAAGATAATTTAAAATTTTTATTAATGAAGGGGGAATATATGAAAACATTTAAAAACTATAGGGTAAAATTTTAAAACCAAAAAGATGCCCCCGGCCTCACCTCCCTCCGCCCTTGTCAACAACCACCCGTTTGATTCATGCGTTTAATCAGTAATTCTTGACTTTGACATTTAAAATTTAAATTTTTTATAAGAAAAAAACACTATAACAGAATCAAAATTATAAATTTAAACATAATAAACAAACCAACCCTCAGTTATAATAACATCAGAAGAAGATGACGATGATGAGTCTTTTTTTCTCTCTCTCCGTTGTCAATGTTGGATTTGATTTAGTCGTCAAAAACCATGTTAGACTCACTACTTTTCTCAATTTTTAATTCTAACATTTTCTTTTTTCTTTTTCAATTAAAGATTGGAAGGCAAGCCAGTGGCACAACATTTTCCTTTTTTCCACAGAAAAGCAAACCGACGAGGCACTAGGTGCAATAATTTAGACCCCGTTCATTTTATCGATTCGAGTTTAGAATTCAAGTTTTACTACAGTAAAAAGCTCTCAGAAATAGTCATATCTATTTTTTTTGCTACAGTAAAAAATTCTCACACAAAATTACATCTCAACTCAAATTACAAATTTAAATCAACGAAGTGAACGGTAGAACCAATCGTATCTTTACTTAAATAATGTAAGTTCTACTAGAGCAAAAATACCAAAATAATGCAAAAAAATAATAATAATAAGAAAATATTTTTACGCGTTTTAAAAGAATTTCTGGCTGCGATGTGGTCCACGTCATTGGATAATGAGCCGACAATGTCTGGCCCCTTTCTGACAAGTTGATCCTCACCCTACACGTGGAATCATAGCATATTACGTATCCTCGTGCACTACACGTGGCTTCGGTGTCATGGGGATTGTTTCTTTATGCGATCGTATTGACGATTTAATTGACATTGTAATTTGATTATTGTTATACGCTAATCTATTGTTAGGTGATATGATTATTAAATTAATAGTGTTAATTTAATAATCATATCGATGCTATATGTGGCTGGTTTGGAGTGCTCTTATTTGTGGACCAAAACGCTCAAATCGGCAGAAAACTGATGATCAGTGACAATCTTTTCCCAAAAAGTTCCATGAATATTTTGTTGTTTTTTAATTCCCAAAAAATAAAGAACAAAAATCTAGATCGCGTTGAGAATTTTACAGATGATTTTTCTCATTCGTGAAAAATCATCTCTCTCTCTCTCTCTGTTTTTTTTTTTTGCCTGTGTTTTTAATAACAATAAAATTTCCTGCTCCTTTTTTTAACAAATTTCCTATTTTTTTAATATAGAGCTCTAATAATATAGGATATATTGTCAATTCCTTGTAGTCAAGCATCAATCAAAATCCTCAAAATGTTAAAACTGAAGTGATCGATTGTTTCTAGTTGATATACCGCATGTCTATGAGATATATTATACAAGTGCCATTGAATAATGGGCCCCAATTACAACAATTTTTTTAACTTTTTTTCTTCTTTTCATTTCCTTGCAGTCTTGAAATCGCCATGGACAAGTGCATTTGCATGGCCACGATACAACTTTTATTTTGTTTTACGTCATACGGATGATCAACTTATCATATAATTTACTGCATAACAAGGATTAACATTGAAAAACTGTAATTAGTGAAATTAATTATATATATGTATATGGCTCATATATATATATATATATATTTATTTGAACTATTGACAAGCTTCTTGTTCTAATATAAAGTCATCTCAAGTTTGTGAAATTTCAAACGCCTGATTTCTTCGGCGGAATCCCACAAATTCAGGCCAGCTTCATATATATTAAATCCTGCACAAGCAATCACATTTCAAATTTTCAATAAGAAAGTTGATGAATAACTTTCAGAATTATTCTTCACATTAATGTGACTTGTATTAGCATGCACGCTTTGCGCCAAAAGAATATACTTATAAACTTATATATATCTCTGTGTCTGTATAATATGTATGTATATGTATGTATTATTCCTATGTCTTTTAAATTATTTGCTCAAAAGATTGGTGCTAGTCTATGCACCTAAATGGCTAGGAATCATGTTTGATCCCTGAAACCCGGAGTTAATTTATGTACAAGGAGCCAAAGATCCGAATCTAAGGAATTCTTAACTCTTATTTAGTTAAGGTTTAAACCAACTTTTCTAATCTTCAGACTTTTCTTTTCCGTTTTTTTTTTTTTTGTCAGATATATATATATATATATATTTTCATATTAATCATACACATACTTCTTGTCATACAGACAAGATTAAACTATAGATATCTGCAAGCGCAATGATTATAGAAGAAATTAAAAAAATGTTAATCGAGTTTACTTTTGCAGCGAGGAAAGAAACGTGTTCATATTCATGTATTTTTAATTACAAACCAACTTACTTACTTTATCTTTGATTTGAATTGCCTTTGTGTATAATAATATCTACACATCAGAAATTGTCGAGCTTTAAAGTTGAATAAACTTACATGAATTAATAGATATATGAATAATGAATTCCTTTAATTCCCATGTTTGGAAGAATATTTAACTCCATTTTCATCCCTCTTAATAAGAATCCAATTGTCAAAATTAACCAAGCAGTGAATAATGTTGTTTGGACCTTAGTTTGAATCATAATTTAAATTACTTTTCTATAGTTTTGTCTTGTGAAAATTTGATTTTCTGTTTAAATCTAGAAACCAAAAAAGAGACTTAAATGTACATAAACTTAAAAAGAAATAATCAAATATATATATATATATATATAGGTCATGTTTACAAACGTTTCCTTACGGTAGGGTCAGATCCAACGGTTCATATCAAATCTGAGAGATGGTCCATATAGTCTCTCCCACATTGTATTGCAGGCTGCAGCCTAAACTCAATTTTTTTTTTTTTCGGAAAATCACACAATAGAAAAAATGAATGACAACGCTATGTCCTCCTCTGCGACCCATCGACGCCCAACCCCCACCGACCCGCCGCCATCACACCCGGTCACCGTGACTCCCATCTCTGGTGAGCATAGTTTTGCTCCGCCCAGATTCTCACTCCCCAAAGATGGAAAGAAAATTAAAAAAAAAAAAAAAAACTACACGAAGACCAAATTGAAACCCACTCCCCGGCGACGGCAGCCAAGCATGTACCCAACCAACAACAAGCCACCCCCTCGTGGGAATCTTGGGACAGACAAGTATCATTTTAACAATGACAATAATTAAGGCCTCGTGCTGTGAATTTAAATTTTTAATTCAATATTCTTTTAAAATTTTTAATTATAATAAAAAATATTAAATATGATATTTTTTAAGTAATTTTAATTGTAAAATTTTAGAATTGAAAATTTAAGTTTATAAAATGTACGGGCTTAAATAACAAAAAAACCATTATATTTTTAAGCTTAAAAAATAAAAACAAAATTTTCAATCTTCTTCTCCACCATCGGACAGCTCGCCGGCGGCGCTGAGAGGCTTGAACGTTGAACCTGGGGAGTTCATCACGCTGTCATTTTGAGTCGCTCTGAGTCAACTTTGACGGCGGTGGCGTAACGAATCGACGGAGCGCAAAAGGGCAGTGGGTCGCGGAGGTTTTTGGCGGCGATTCGGCTGAGATTCGCCGAATAAGTTGGAGGGTTTTGGTCGTCGAGCTCCTCTGAAGCGATTGGAGGTGGCTGTGAATAACAACTCGCGACGGACGGAGTGATGCAAAATGGGTTCATCGTGACGTCGTGGTGGCATTTGGCGGCGGTGGTCGGCGGCGGCACAAGCGGCGGTGGTTGGACGGTGTTGTGCCGTTTATGTTGAAGAAGAAAAGTTTTCTTTTTTTTTTTCTTTCTTTCTTTTTGATTTACTTTTAGGACTGTTCTAGTGTGAAAGCTTATTCTGGGCCATTGATATTTAATGAGAGGGTCACTGTAAATTCACCCCATCGGTAGGGACGAAAAGGCTCCCTACTGTAGACATGCCCATATATATATATATATATATATATATATATATATCTCATCACTCTCCAGACCAGGCTGTTCATGTTGGGGTCTGGCGAGACCAAGACAAATAAAGCTCCAACCGTATTGAGTAATGAAAGCAGTGGTGCACTGCAAAGTACTGCAAAACCTCCATATTTCATCATAGACAGAACCAGAAATACCCAAGCTGTAAGCTGCACAAAGCACTTCTACAAGTACAGATGTATATAATTAATAGTCCTAAACAAAACCTCCAAGGCAAGGAATCCAAGTTTAATTAACTCAAAATAAGTCACAAGAAAAACCCACCATTAATAAAAATATATATTATATCTATGTACACATAAACAAAAACCCATCAAAATAATTCACTTCCTAATCAATCCCAATTCAATTATTCAAAAAAAAGAAGATGAAAAAATGACTAACAATAAGGGACGTAATAACACTTTTTACCATCCCTCATTTTTCCTTTGTATTGTCTTCATTTCTCATCTAATAATAATTAACAATATTGATGCAACAATTTTTTCTAATAATTCTTGCGAGGATCATATCATATCATATACTTTTGAATTTTTTTTTGGGGGTGTCATGTTTCCAAGAAGCCAGTCATCCTAAGAATGGAATTCCGAACTTGGCTCAAATCCCGTCCCTTGAGGGTCCTCCCATTGCCTGTACACACCGAGTACGCCATCTTTCCGCCCGCCATCCGCCGCCCCACGATCACGTGCGGCGGCACCAATTCACCGTCGTCGTTGCCGTCCTCCTCGTCGTCCCAATCCCGGTCGACGTCACGCTTATCTGCGAAGCGGAATACGCTATCCGGTATATTGAGCGGCACCGAATTCGCCACCCTTTTCTTCTTCTTAATCTTGGAATTGGATGAGGACTTGAGGGACACAATCATGTCTTGGAAATCAAAGTGGGTGCCTTCGTTGTTGTTGTCGTCGTCGGAGAAAATAACCTCGGATTCTTGGTACTCTTCGAATTCAGCCATGAGAATGTGACAAAAAAGATCAAAAAGTGAGAGAAGAAATTGTGGTTTAAGGAGGAAAAAAAAAAGGGATATTTGTATTATGGGGTGATGAAAAAGAGTGAATAATGAAGGGTTTAAAGAGGGAAAAGAGTTGAGATTTATAGAACCTAGAAATGGGGGTTGGGCTTTCTTTTTTTTATTTTTTATTTTGAGGGAATCTAAATCGTAGTGAGTACACTTTGATTGTTTGTGTTGTCAGATGGCGTCACAATGTAAAGGCATTGAGTGCGGTCACCGCCAATCTTATGGCTTAAATAGTTAAATGTTTCTCTCTCTAAAGTTTGTGTGTTTTTGTCTGCTCTCTCTCTCTCTCTCTCTCTCTCTCTCTAAGTAAGTTGGCTGCCTAAAACAGCTACTTTTCTTATGGCTCACGGCTTTTTTTTTTTTTTTTTTTCCCCTTCCTTGGTGTGTTGGTTAGATACATTGACTTTGTCTGGATTGGAGCTCATGAGCTTTAACTGAGCTTTATTTCTTGATCTTTAATTTTGTACGTTGTTTTGATTTTTTTTAATTTGATATTTGTACTTTGTTTAATTAATAAAGAATTCAGAATTCTGTAGATGTTCCTAATTAATAATTGTAATATTGGTCAAATGGTGCCCTTTTCAACTCCTTGGGTATTTTCCTTGGTCTTTCATGAACTTTTCAGCGTTTGAATCTTGAGATGAGGAAAATTTTTTTTTTTTTCTACGTCCAAAAATCTTGAGATGAGAGGCTAGAAATATCTTTTTGGATTTAATATCTGTTATTTGATAATTTCAAAACAAAATATAAATTGTATTTTATTATGTAATATGTGGTATTTTTTTTTATTACGTGACACATAATCATTTTCCGTTTTGTCAATCAAATATAAGAATAAGTGAACTCTGTATAACAAGAAGGTAGGCCTAATATTAGCTGTCCAATTTCAAATAAAAAAAAAACTCTCTCATTAATGTTTTAATTTTTAATTTAAATTAATTAATTAATTATTTAATGATTAAATTTTTTTTTTTTTTTTGCATGCGATGCATCATACATGTGTGTCAAAGAAAAACACTTGTGCCATAACAAAACTCTATTTTTTTTAAACATTTTTAACGAGATTTAATATTTTCACGACTTTTAACTAATCATCACACAAATTACATATTTCAGGTTTTTTTTTTTTTTTTTCATTTCAAAAGAAAAAACCCGAAATATGTAATTGGTATGATGATTAGTCTGCGCTATGTTGATATGATGTTGTCATCTTAATTTTCACAATTAATATAAAAAAGATGCTTTCATCCTGTCATAAAACGCGTGGGTACGTATTTCCATGACTAGCAGGACTGGATAGTGCACTATTGATGTTATCATTTTATATGACTTTATTATAGAGATATTCTTATTATGGCGTGATCCTAGTTACAATGAAATCTATCTATATAGACAACTTTTTGGAAAAAAGGAATATTCCAATTCGCCTTAAAATTAAAAAAATGGTGCTTCATTCACCCTCAGAAGGCAAGCTTGCATGCAAAATTTTTTTTTTTTTAGTTTTATCTTAATAACAAAAATTAACATGAATCATTTAGAAAAGTAATTAATATTTCAATATATAAGTTTAAATATCAAGACTCCATGTTTAAACATAATACCATAATTGCCAATAAAAGGCAAAAATCTCATATTATTCACAGCCATACCAAACAAATTCAACTACTAGTAAGGTAATTTGGTGAAAGATCTTAAGAAAAAACTGGTGCAAGTTCTAACTTAAAATCCACTCTATATATGAGCAAAAGTTGACATATATTGCACATATATACACATATATCATCATTTGTGCAAGTTCTCCCTCTTTTGAAAATTCCTCAACCACATTGTCAAGGAAATTTTTGTTGCCTTAATTCCTCAATTTCTCTCACTTTCTCTGCATGTCAAAATTATGAGCGCATTTGAAACTCGTTCCAAAATAATTTTATTTTTTGTATGAAAATGAAAATGAAAACGTTTTCAATCTCTGACATATATCATTTTTGAAAATGCATTTGGTAGTTTGATCAAGAGATTGTTTTCAGTATAAAAAAACTCATTAATGTCTCTATCTCTTCTCTATCTCTTTCTCTCTGCTCGACAGAGGAAAAAATGAAAACAAAAAATAAAAAATGACTAAAAGTCATTTTTCATTTTTCTCTCATTTTACACTAAATCAAAAAATCGTTTTCATTTCTGTTTTTTTTGTCTTTATTGCACCAAACACCGTTTTAAAAACGTTTTCATTTTTTCTTTCTTGAAAAACGTAACAAATAAAAATGAGATTAATTCTAAACACGATTTATACGTCCTGATTTTTCTAGTTTCTAATCATCTACTGCATTTACTTCTTCAACGTAAAAACAGTTTCTGCAATTACTACAAATGATAATAGCGCAAGTTCCATGGGAATATAAATGTCTTACCAATCAAAGATACAATTCACTATACCAATTACATATATGTATTGCAGTTTGTTTGGATATTTTAGCATAACTTCCATAGGAACACAATTGTATTTGGTACGAGGATTCGTGTAATACAGTGTTTTTTTCTAAAAAAATACGCGTAAATTGAGAATAATTTTAAATCATAATTTTAAATCCGTGAACTAAATATCACCATGTAAATGCTATGTAATGTATGTTTGGGCGCATACAAATCCATCAACACATGACTTGAGTATGACTATGAAGCAATCAACCAGAGTATGGCGGTCAAAAAATTTCAGCATAAACATCTTGGGACAAAAAAAAAATCACAAAATTATTTTATGGAAGGAAAAGCTTTTTATTAGCTTCTTTTTTAAGGGATTTTGTTATCATTTTGTAGGCCATTTATAATTTTTCTTAGATACAAACAGTTATAAATTTAAATTATTGAGTGTGGATTCAAATAAAAATTTTCTCATAATATAAAAGTACAATTGATTTTTCTAAGAAAAAAAATTTTTAATATTGAAATGTTAAAATTCTATAATAGATGGGATCATGGGACGTTTTGATAATTGCAGATAAAAGAAAAAAAAAAAAAAGAGATAATTAAAGTGGACGAGAAAAAAGAAACACTATAACTGGCCGAGAGTATGCCACAAACGACAAAAAACTGTCGTGGAGAGGTAAAAGTGTACGGAACCGCCAAACAGTACAAGTTTGTTCTAGAGAAAAACAATTAAAAAAAGTGGTTAATCTCGAATAGTTTATGAGATGTACCTTCTATTTCATTTTAATTTTTGCGTTTCACAATTTGTTTTTAAAATTTTGTTTTATTTTAGTTTTAATCTTTTCATTAATTAGGTTTTAAATATCTAACAAAATCTATCAAAATTAAGAATCAAAATTAAAACATCTAAATTTTAGAGACTAAAATAATACACAAAACAAAAATTAATTTTCACATATAAACTTTAAATTTTAACTATTTTCAATTTTTGTCTTATTTTATAGAAATTTTGTTAAATACTTAACGTTCAGTTAATAGGAGGATTGAAATTAAAATGAAGTAAAACTTAAGGGACAACTTTAAAACAGTTTAAAAGTCAGAATTAACGTGAGATTGATAAACTTTTATGAGACATTTGATTCATAGATTCAGAATTATGATTCATGATTTTAATTTTTAAAATTTAAATTTTTTATAAGAAAAAAATACTGTAAAGAATTAAAAATTATGATTTAAAATCGAAAATAAATTCTGGAAACAAACATTCCATTAGATTAAAATTACTGAATAAAAACTTTTTATTAAAATTTTACTGTAACGCTTTCAATAATTCTTATTTTTATTGGTCTATTTTTTATTATAGTGTTATAATTTTCATTTTATTTAACTTAAAAACAGAATTTAAAATTACTTTATTATTTTATGCTCGAATAAAATCTAATAACTGATGCAACTTGATAGTTATAACCTCAATTTATGGATTGAACTCAAAACGTTCTTTCTCATTTTTAATTTTTTAATAATTCATTTCTTAATGATTTATTTTATGAATCTTCATTTGTAAACTTTACCAAAAAAAGAAAGAAAAGGAAAGTAATACCAAGCTGAGCCGAGTCGAGCCGAGCCGAGAACGTAGCCAACGATAGTAATAAACGAAATATTTTACTAATCAGTAATGATTGGATATGGTAAAAGGCGTACGTGATAAGCAATTCGATCATCCAGCTGGGCGCATCCAACGGCTCATATTCGTCGTCAGAGAGTTTCATTTCTCGGGTGAAGACTGAGAGGGTCCCACCTAAATTTATCCGAAACTTGCATTCACCGACCATAAGAGAAGAACGAAATAGTTATACGACAAGCCAGTAAAATCGCGACACGTGGTGAGTGACATGACCGCACAAACACATGAACACGAGCGGGGAAATCTCAATTATTCTGCTTCGCTGCCACGTTCCCGCCGTTGTTTTCGTGTAAGTCTCTGTTGGTTATCTCTCTCTCTCTCTCTCTCTCTTAATTTGTCTGTTTTTTTTTTTTTTTTAATGATAATTGAGTGAAGCAAGCCAAAGTGAAGAGAGTCTTCGAGAAAGGGTTAACTAAGCCCCTAAAGCCTTGAGTGTGAGGTTTCGGAAGCAAACAAAACCCAAGCAATTGTTTGAAATATAATCCCACCAAAGAAGGAATATCGGATGATGGATATACAAAAGGAATTGAAACTAATAAAATAAAACGAGATATAGCTTCTTTGGAGGGCGACCGATAGTGCAAGTTACGTGATGTTTTAATAAGGTTGATTTGGTAAAATTGATGTTGGATGGTTGATTGCGCTGGTGAATTGCCCTGGATCTATGTTATCTAAGAAGATATTTGTTTTATGTATCCGTTTTTAATTCTGAATCATGGTTTAAGATTTTTTACAGTATTTTTTTCTCATAAAAAATTTAAATTTAAAAAATTAAACTAATGAATCATGATTCTAAATACATGAACCAAACGGGTCCTAACTAACCCATGATATGGAAATTCTATAGATTTAATTTGGGTAAAGGGCATTAACATGCTATTTTCACAAATTAAATGGATTTTAAAGTAGGGCAAGAGGAATTATATTTACACACTAAAATTCATTAATATTCCCACCAGGTAATAATTTACATTTATTATAATCTTATCCTGTACTAAAATTACATTAAACCCCACTAATTATTTAATTATAAATATAAATATGATGAATATTATTCTTTCCAAAAAAAAAAAGAAAAAAAAATATAATGCATACACCCACGTCTTTAATTAACACTATTTTGATTTATTAAACTCTTTCAAAATTTTAATAGAGGTTTCAATTATATATATTACGTGAGTGTTTGTTACCAAATTTGTGCAATGTTCAACGACAATTGCATGAATCACGGTTTGTAGTTGTACTGTAAATACAATTCCTATGCTCCCACTTTGATTCGTTGTTCTTGTTTGTAAATTTAGTTTTTGCTTGTGTTAAATTGGTGTAATTTTCATTGAACATTTTTTAATTCATTTTATGTAGTTTGAGAATTTGAGAACATATTATTTTATTTTATAAATCACGTCAAGATTAAATTAATACGAATGGAGTATGAAAGAGTTAAATTAGGTATTATGAAAATAATATCTATAAAAGAATAGATTTTTTTAAATCTTTAATTAACAGAATATTAATTATTAGGTGTATCTATAAATTTTAGGGGTGTAAATATAATTACTCTTTTTATAAATACCTCTTAAAATTGAGCCCCTTTTATATCTATCCTTAACATCATCCTTTATATTTCTACCTTTTAGATTAGAACTAGTTAATAGGTAGAGTTTTTTAAAATGTGTACTTTTAATAAGTCGGGTACTTAAAAAAGTAGAATCTGTAATTTTCTCTTTAAAGTACCATTTTGATTTGAATTTTTCACTTTAGTAGTATTCTGATATTTAAATTACTTCACTTCAAAAGAAAAAAAGTCTAAATCACTAGTTTTCTCATGGGTTTTTTTATTTAACAGTGTTGCACCCTAATTTCTGTTACAAGCCCCTAAATTAGTTCTAATTTTAACTTTGTTCTAACTAATTAGATAAAGTTCAATCAAAACTGTTAAGATATATGCTCATTCTTTTAGCTGTGGAAATTCAGGATAAGAATAAGGAATTCGGCTCCAATTTCTTTATTTCATGAAAATATAGAAGAGGATGAATATTGTTATAATTTGGAATCAATTTATATAGTCTTATCTTGAAATACGCTTTGATGTTGATAGTGGAATGGATTATTCGAAATTGCTCAAGAATGTACGTTTTGTTATCTCAACAGTTTTTAGACTCAAGAGAAGGAAAAAAAAAAAAAAAAAAAAAAAAAAAAAAAAAAAAAAAGAAGAAGAAATCAGGAGAAGCAAACAAAAACAAGCAAATCAAGATGATCAAGAAAATAGAGGAGGTATCATATGAGGTGTGGTTAATTCCAACTGAAAACTCACGAACTTTTGAAAGACTACTTTGCATTGATATTTTGGCTACTTGACGTACATGTACTCTTTTTGCTGAAAATGACTAACAATATTATCATTCAAACAATCAACTGTGGATAACTTTTTTTTCTCAATAGGCATATGTTCAGTGCTATTAAATTCTCTCCGTGCCATATTTTTGGTGCAGATAATGACTTCAATCCCATCTCTAATAGTATATAGCTCATCGTGTTATTTCAGTTTCTCTTTTATGAAAGATTTGGCAACATTTGTGTTGCTTTTGTTAAGGATTGTTAATCGTCAGAATCAAATTATTTGGGGTCTAAATATTACTCGACTGACAAAGAATCTAAACACGTTAGTCTATATGACCAATTAGCCAATCATATATAAAAAAAAAATCAAATTAAATTAATATGAACGGTGAATGAATAAAAATATATAGGGCCCGTTTAGTTCGCTGATTCGAGTTTTTAATTCGAGTTAAGATGTGATGTTATGTGAGAGCTTTTTACTGTAGCAAAAAAGTTAGATGTGACTGTTTCTGAGAGCTTTTTACTGTAGCAAAACTCGAATTCTAAACTCGAATCGGCAAAGTGAACGGGTAGTTATTGATACATATCTTCGTTGGTGTATAAGGAAAAAATGTCATCTATGTATATTTCAAGCATTTTGGCATTTTATTAATGATTGTTAACTTATTGTTCTTGTTTGGAAATGCATAGTGCTTTTTTTTAAATAAAAAAAAAAATTATTCATGCATGATTCTATTCATACACCTCTTCTAACTATTCAAATAGCCACCTTCATGTAAATAGTAGAAAAAGATACCCTTAAATTACTTCAAACTTGAGCAAAAGACATTTATGACCTTCACATTTAGAGATGATAATATTCCTATGGGATGGGCCCCGCAGGAATTCATCTCGAACAGGATGAAAATAGAGATAAAATCTTGTCTTCCAATCATGTTAGGACGAGGATGGGAAAAGCACTCCTTGTCCCGCCTCCATCGCAATGTACATATTATATAAGTATACATAATATTAACTTTTTAGACAAAATATGTTTTACTAAAAAAAAAAAAAAAAAAACTACTAACCACCTTTCTTTTTATTAAAAAAGAAAAATTACTTATTAGTAATTTAAGTTGATTAGTAGTATTCCTTGATTTTCTATACATGCTTATTAAATAATGTGTTTATGTTTTGATAATGTCAAACTTACTTAGCTTTATGTGTTACTAGTAAGAAAATTGTTGAACTTATGTGTATAGATCTGGATTTTTATTTTTTATTTTTGGTTAATACCATTTGAATTAATATAGTTGACTAAAACATATATTAATTAAGGGTAAGATGTAAAAATCTAAACTGATGCACTCAAAAAGTTATTTGTATTCTTTTCTCAATACTTATCTCTTACTAAGATTTGGTTTGCATATGCCCAGAATTTGATTTATTTTGCTGAACCTTTGATTTTAGTTTTAAGATTATCGCGAAGTTCTATTATATATTTAAGTTGTTATAATTTTAAAATACATAATTATATAAGATGGAGAATAAAATGGGTATGAGAAACATCTCCAACCAGCAAGTCCCGACCATGGCCCTGCTTCTCCGATGGGTTTCCCCACTCCTGCCCGCCCGTTGCCATCCCTATTTGCGTTTTTTTTTTCTTTGCATTTGATCAAATAGGATTCAAGTCTCCATGTATGAATATATATTCATAAAACGTTTTTTTTCTTTTTTTTTTTTCACTTAGAAATTGTCTACCAACTAACAAACTGCACAATTTTTGTCAACTTAGAAATCAATCACAAGTCGTTTATAAAGAAGATACATTTATAAATGTCATGGTATTCATTCAGTGAATATAATTAGAAGGAGAGAAAGGGATAGCTATACAAGAGGCAATGATGGGTGAAAAAAGATATTCAACCTGGTAAGAGTAAAAAGCAAAAGTTTTTTGTTAAAATTAAAATAAGGTAATCTTGGACTGGAGAATGAGTAAGTTTAATACGTCTAAACTTAATAGCGTGTGTTTAAGAGGTAGAAAAAAAAATAAAAAGGTGTGTAGAGTTGAGACTGGTGCAACAATTTTTTTTTTTTTTTTGGCTGATAAAATAAAAGCCACCTATAAGTATATGAAAGCAGGGGTAGAAATTTGTTTGAAGGCTTCATCAGTAATTAAGCGCTCGTTTGATTCATGAGTTCAAACCAAATAATTTAATTCAAAATTTAAAATTTTATGAAAGAAAATATTGTAACGGAACTTTTTAAATTTAAATTTTTGTGAGAGATACTATTTGAACTACCCCCAGACCAAACAGGCACTAAACGTTTCAGTTGACTATTAATGTTGTTATTCTTTTCTTAGAGTTATAGTAATGTAGATATACAAAGATTTGGCGCCATGAAACAAGTGCCGTTTAATGTTTTGTCAAAGCTGATATGTTACGAAACTTATATATAAGACGTGATGCATGTGACTGACAGATTAAAACGCAAGTATAAGTACTATCCAGGTTTTTTATAATTGGGTTAAAAATTGATATTTTGTAAATTAACAAGAGTTTGCAAAGGAATAAAATAGCCAATTGTAACCGAACGCCCTAAGTGCTGTAACTTCTTTAGAAAAAGTAAAAAGCAGCCTCTAAAAACAATGCCAAAAAGAGCCCATAAACATTGTTTAAAGGTTCTAAATTTGAAAAGACAAGGAATGCTGGTAAGTAATTGTCATTTCCAAATTGATTTAAGTGAAGAATTTTATATCTTTTGTTGATGACAGTACTAGACACCAGTTTAATTTTTTCCCTCTCAAAAAAAAAAAAAAAAAAAAATCCTCTTCTTTTTCCAATTAAAATTACTCAAAAAGTCCATTTACATTTTTTTGCTCTGAAAGAGTCCATTTCTTCTATGTTCTTTTGAGTCTCAATTAAACTACTCAAATCAAATTAAATTTGACAAAACCTGAGTTACTGCTAACCATACTAAGCTTCTTTTTTCTTCTTTATTCTCCTTAGAAAGAAGGGGTTATGCGAATAGAGAATAACTGTCTAAATAATTTTGATAATAATTATCATTCAATTAAAAAGGAGAAAACAAAAGGCCATCCCAATTATTTAGAATGGGATAAATAATAATTCTATAAAACTATGACAAACCATGACCTTAAACCAATACATTACTGCACAGTACATGGATACCTCATGGAGTAAATGGCCCTTATACCCCATCCACTGTAATGAAACTAACTCGAAGTCAAAATTTTATCTAGAACAAGCGAATTTTGTTTTATTAAGTAAATAGAGCGAGCAATACTATCACCCCATAACGGTGTGATCAACCATACAGTGAGGATTCAAGCACAAAACTCAGAATATATGCATTCAGCTTCTGTCCATATAAAAAGCATCACATATTGTTCTCGACAAACATATGTCATGTAGAGAAATGGGAAACTCATCTTTTTGGTCAGCAGAAAACGAAGAGTCAACAAATTGCCTAATAAACATTATTTAACCTCTAATAGATCGGGATTGGTAATTTGCTTTTGCAATTTAACCAAGGTCCAGAATGCTAACTTCAGTTTTGAAGTTTGCTGCTAGTTTAAATGGCATCAAGTCTTATATGTACTGATGGTGATTAAAGCAGGTGGAAAATATTTTCCCAAATTCAATCAATAGTGATATAGAGATCAGATTAGTGAACACAAACACATTCGTAGTTCAGTTACATTCCAATGATAAATATAGAATCATAAAATGTGAAAATCACTGCCTCATATGAGCCTATTGAACAAGATGAAAGTCACAGTTGATTGTTTCTTCAATCAATATTCAGAATATTATTAATGGGGAACTGAATCTCAAAGATAAATATATGGATTGGTTCTTCATTTTGCTCCCTACAATACTGTCAAATTCCTGCAAGGATATGCAATTCACATAGATCACATAACAGAGAATAAAGAGATTGCGCACAAGAAAAACGAAGCCATTATTAATGAAAACACAGTAATCAGAATGAGTTTACCTCGCTTAATGCGTGTCTGCTACCCACTTAGGGGCACTAATGCTAGCGCTTCTCAGTAGGCTATTGGGACTGTTATTTGGTTTGCTACATCCATTCGGAATAACCCGTGCATATACATATGCAGGTTCCGGTTTCTCTGGTGGAGAGCTCTGAAGAGTTGCTCGACCAAGTGAAACTGCAGTGTTAGTTTTACCATTAGAATTTTGTTCGTCATCATCGTCTATGGATACACAAATCCGTTCTCTGCAGCAAAGCAAGTTTAAACATCAATATATCGAACAAAATGATGGGATCAAAGCAGATAACCATCAGGAAGGAATTGGCATGCTTTCTTCAACGGTTGCGTACCTGGGCAAGGAGCAGGCGTGTTTCCTTTCAAGTCGAGTGCTTCTTTCACCTTTACTGTATTTCTCCTCAAGATGGGCAAATTGTAGCTTGAATTGATCAATTCCACTAAGTTGACATAAAGCTGAATTAGGTTAGTTGTCAAGGATGCTTGGATTGATCAATTCTACTGGAGATGACGTAAGTGATAGGATTACTATAGCAATGTGAAAACTGAAAAGTTCTTCAAGATGTGATGAAAATCAGTTGGTGTAATTTTATTACATGAAATGCTGAAACCGTTGCATTAACATACACTAGCAAGGAATATTATTTCTTCCACAATAACTAAACAACAGTAAACAAGTATAAATTATATTCGTTCTCATGATCTTTCTCCTGTTCTCCCCTCCCCATGAGAAAAGGATTCTGAGGCTCTATAAAATCAATGTTTAATTATGACCAGTTGTGGAGAATTGTACTGTGACTCCAAAGCTAAGAAAGCTTTGCTTGGTTTTACTTTTGCCTCTGTGTTTTTTAATCCCAAAAACGGAAAATGAAGGGTGGAGAGACTTTCAGGATGTTGCTCAAGAGAAATTCCACCACTCTACTCACTTAAGAAAGGGGGAAGAGAAAGAAAACATGTCTGAATCAATCGCAGTTTGATGCATCCATGACTCCGTTTTACCGGTAATTTACCTTTTGAATACGATGGATACAAGTACATTATCCTACAGGATGCTCAGAATCAGACTAAAAGGAACACGTTTGTTTACATGTTTGCATACTCACGCAACACACGCACGTCAACAGATAGATGCAACATCTTTATTACTTAGATTACTATGAATTTAAGGGGGAAAAGCAAATACTAAGGAAAGAAATAAGAGAATCCCTGACCTTGGATACATAAAGCCACTATGGTCTGAACCTTGGAGATACTCCTGCAGCATCTTCGGATGATACTCTAAAATCTGTAAGATTTTAGACATGTGCAAAGAGCATATTTAAAGGACAAGAAACAAGAGGTGAATAACAAACCTAACTCAACAAATCATCACCAGCCGTACCTCTCTGTATATTAACTCCCGTACATCATCTTTTGTTAACTTTCTCCTCTCAAAATCAAACTCAAACTTCGAAATTGGCTGTTTAGATGGTTCATGTTCCAAGTTTGCCAACCCGTAAAAATATGGATCGGCCAATGCCTGTAAATGGAAGACCGCCTTTATCAAGACAAAGGCATATATGAATGGTTTGACTGACATGTGTACAGAGAATAGAGATGTGCTAAAATTTTGTTTTTGCTAAAAGAAAATCTTATCTCTTCGGCAGAAGGGCGATCTTTAGGATCAAATGCAAGCAAACGCTCAAGCAATCGCAGGGCCAATGGATCTGTATTGGGGAATTTTTGTGAGAAAGGAATTGGTTGCTTTTTTTTCATGCTATTCAGATATCTTTTGGCCTTTTCATTGCGAATCTGCAGAAGTTGAGATGATCAATTTTGTAAGTAATGAAGAGGATAAGATTTGTTTCTTATAAAAAAGAAAAAAAAAAAAAGGAACTTAATACATAAGTTCATTCAAGAGAAGCCAGAAAACCACAAAAATCAGTAGAAGAAAATATCACCGACCCTTGAAATTGATTCAGCAGAAGGGGCCCCAAGCAAATTAGTAATTAAATCCAACTGATTCACCACATTTTTTCCAGGAAACAAGGGTTTTCCTGTGAGCATTTCTGCAAATATACATCCTATGCTCCAAATATCAATAGCAGGAGTGTACTGCAAAAGACAATTAATAAAAGTTCTTATCTAAAATCTGAAGAAAGAGTTTATACCATCATCAATTAAATAAAAGTAAGATAAGAAAAAGAAAAGTAAGGCGCACATGAAATGGAACCCTATAAGAAAGTTATTTTGCATGCCTAAAAACAACATACGTAAGAACAAAAATTAAGATAACCACTAAATTTACGCATAAAAAGAGCTGATACATTTCAGCATGCTATTTTGATTTGACGAATATTTTGATTTGACAAATAACTTGTAAGGTTTTGAATGAAAACTTGGGAGAATCACATACGAGATAGTTCCAGATTTCATACCTCAAACAAAACATTAAAAACCAAACAGATAAGTTCGACAAATTGATATGTTTGACAATTGATAGAATCTCAGAGAGCAAGTGGAAATGCAAAACAGGTAATTTGTAGATTTTCTTAACTAAAGAAAACACATACTATTTTTGTTCTAGTAATTTATTATAGTATTTAATAATTTCACAAAAAGAACTTGAAGTTTCAAGGATGACTAAATACTCTTTTAAGAGTATACAGGGCAATCAGAAACCATCAAATCTTAAGGACGTATATGCATTGCCATTTTTCTGTCAAAATCATTGGTGAAAGGCAGAAAATTTGTAATTTACAATGATAATTACTTATTTAGAGATCAATAACTCTCATGAGTGGGTATCTACATGAACGAATGAAAAGTTTGAGTATGTTAGTAAAGGATTGACTTGCAACACACTAATTAATAAAAGAACCAAAAGCAAACCACTAGAATCTGAAGCGTGGCTTTGTATGTCTCAGCAATTAGAGAAGATTGCCATAATCTAAATATCACAACCCGAATCAATTTTTGAATAACTACCTTGGAGAAAAAGGAGCCACAGAGTTCAGGTGCACGATACCATCGAGTCGCCACATAATCCTTGAAAGTTGAACAAGTCAGCAAGCCATACATTTAAACAATACAACATCAACGGGAAAAAAATTAGCAAAATGCTAATAAAGAGAAATATTCTAATAAAAGAAACATACAGTCCAAAAAACAGTAGATGGGGCATCATTGAATGCTGCTCGAGCAAGTCCAAAGTCACAAATCTTCAGTTTGCAGTCTGCGTTAGCAAGTATATTTTTCGGCTTTAAATCGCGATGGAAAACATTTGCTGCATAAAACGGAAAGAATTGTTAAAGCTATTGAGTATGAAAAAATAAATCATTGCAGCAAAGCCAAGACGAGATCTAACCAGTATGTATGTACTTTAGAGCTCGAAGAAGCTGATAAAGAAAAAATTGATAATGTTCAGGAGTGAGATCATCATTAGCCTTGATTACGTGGTGAAGGTCAGATTCCATCAACTCAAATACAACATATAAATCTTTGAATTCTCTCCGACAAGGAGGTAGCATTATATGTTTGATTTCCACGATATCAGCGTGCCGCAGCATCCGAAGGAGCTTGATCTCTCTCAAGATGCGTGTAGCGTCGGAGACATGCTCGAAGACATCATTGATCTTCTTAATAGCTACTCTCTCTCCAGTGTGAGTATCAATTGCAGAAGCAACAACACCATAGCTACCTTTGCCAACCACTTCTTGAATTTCATATTGACTTGCCTCACCATATTCTGTGAAAAATTCTTTGTCAAGCATAATCTGAATAAATGAAGTTATGATTAGTAAACTTTAGAAATAAGGTAAAAAGGGTGGGTGAGGAAGCTAGCAGAACATGAAAATTAAAAAATTTCATTCCAAGATCTTTGAAGCTGAAGTCAATAATCAGATCCCATGTAAACTTTAATTATTTAAAAAAAAAAAAGTGTTACCAAGAAAGATCGTCTCCAGTGACATAACCCATAAGATTAATTTCCTTGAAGAAAATCAATGACGAAAGATTCGAAGGATGTTTAAAGAAATTATGTTCGTTTATATCAGACTTAATTCGAGTAAAAAATAAAACCAAAACGGAGTTGAAAGCAAAATTCAAAAACTTAAAAAGGACAAATTATGACATGACTCCTTTGATAAGTACCTCATTTTACAATCATTATTGAATCCAACAACTAAAAAGAAAATCGCTTCCATTGATATATACTAATGGGGCCGTTTAAATAATCTTAATTCATTCAATAATACCACTTTCTTCAAAGCCTCAAATCATCAAAATAGACCCATATATATAATCAATGCGCAAACAAAACTCTAGCTCCAAAGCTATGATCTATTGTAAATAAACGAATAAGCAACAGAATTCCAAAAAAGGGGTTTTGTTTCATTTTCTTTTTTCTTTTTAAGGAAAAGAATGACATAAAGACCTCTTTGTTTCTCTGAAAAATGGGAGACCCAGAAAAGAGAACTTCCTTGGCGTGCCACCAGCCTCCAGATGACCCACCAAAATGCAAGAATCGATCAATACATGAACCATCTACTTGCTGTTCTTGTACATCTATATATCTCTCTCTGTTATATATATTTATAGGAAAATATGCGCGAATAAAATTTGAAGCTTTCAACTGAATTATTTATATGTGGAAGAATGATCAGGAAAAGTAAGAGTCGTACACCATATTTAAAAATAAAGTCAAAAAAGAGAAATATATTTGTGGAGAGAGAATAATTCCAAAAAATCAATTTTTTTTTTTTTTCAAGTTTGACGCATAAAAACTTGCGTATGGCGATCGATTGTGGAAAAGGACACCACTTTATTGCTATCCAAAAATAAAAAAATAAAATAAAATAAAATAAAAGATAAAAAAGGCCCTCAAAATACGAACCTTATCGCTTTATCGCTTAACAAATAACACAGACGCGGAAAGCATTTAAGCAAAGCAGACTCAGAGAGAGGAGAGAGAAAGCGTCAGAATAATGACGACTGACCTTATTGTGAGGGTCCATGATGGCGACGACTCTCTGATTCGTCCGCTGAGGGACTCTGATGGGGTTCAATACGGTGATATCAAATTCTCTGATGATCAAGTTCGAATCTTTCCGATCATCATGCCACGATATCGATGATGATGGAGGTAATACGACGTCGTTTGCTGAGCTTGATTGCTTGCCCCTGTTGGATGATGATGATGAAGAAAATAGACGGTGAAAGCAGCGAAGAAATGCTTCCATGGATAGGTTAATCTAGGAGGCGCCGCAGCGAATCTTTTTTCCCAAATCCGACATTGCAGTACAAGAGTAAGCGGCTGCGGCGCTTTGTAATCGTGTATCTAGTTCATCACTTCTTATGAATCTTTTTTCCAGTTAAGGTCTATCTGTTTGTCTCGGGGTTTGCAAAATCACCATTGAATCCGGAAATGTTTGCCTATACCCCCAAAAACGACAAAACTCTTTTTTGTTTTATTTTATTATTTTCTGAAAAAGAGATAATTCTATTTTATTACAATGTCCCCAATAGATGGTGTAAAGATACCTTTTTATATATTGTAAAATATTTCATTCTTTTAACAGCATATATAATTCAGTGAATAGTTTGCTGAATGAGACCAAAACATCCATCTTGAATCAAAAGCCAATAAAATAAAGATGCATTTTCCATTGACATGGATAGAAACCCATAACCTTATACTAAATTAAATAATCATACAAACATTACCCACAAACTATAGCAGTAGCTAGATGCTCCTGAGAAAACAAAACAAGCTGAAAAAGTCTGCAGTCTATGGTTGAAGCCGCTTAGTTTTTATGGGGTCTCTGGATTTTTCATGGCAGTGTCAGCATCTAATTTTAGTTTCCGAGCCCTTCCTCTACCATCTTTCCAGGGCTGCTCCAGCGGATGGCGACCCTCCGAGGGTCTTCCCTTTGCTTTAGGAGGCCTTCCTGGCCCCTTAGAATGCTTTTGCTTCTGCTTTTCAAGATCATTGCATCTTGCTTTTCCTTCCGAGGCCTGCCTCTGCCTCTACTTGGAAAATGAAGTTTCCCATGCTTCCTCAACATGTATTTAGATGGTTTGGGATTAGGAGGCCTACCTAGGCGAGGTTTCGGTGGATGCTCCTCCTCGTGATGCCGTGAAGCCAAGGGCAATGCCAACCCTGCGTTTAAGTCCGTGGCTGTTTTCGGTTTAGGACGCCTTCCTCGGCCACGGTGTTTATGTGACTGCTCATGCTCCTCATCATGATGCTGTGAAGTCGAGGACACTGCCGACTCCGCATTAAATTCCATGTCTGCTTTCCGCTTATGAGACCTTCCTGGGCCACGAGGTTTTGGTGGCTGCTCGTCATGTTCCTTAGGATCCTGTAAAGCCGAGGATAATGCCGATCCTGCATTTAGATCCGTGGCTGTCTTCAGCACAGGAGACCTTCCTCGTCCACGCTGTTTTGGTGGTTGGTTGTCCTCCTCATGATGCTGTGAAGCCGAGGCCACTGCTGACCCTGCATTTGGGCCGGTGTCTGTTTTCGGTTTAGGAGGGCTTCCTTGGTCATGATGTTTAGGGGGCAGCTCCTCCTCCTTATGTTCCTGTGAAGCCAAGGACAATGCAGACCCGGCGTTTGTGTCTGCGTCTATTTTTGGTCTAGGAGGCCTTCCGTGGCGTCGTGCTTGCTGCTTTTGCATCTCTTGATTTTTGGAAGGCATAGATGATTTCGGCATTGTAGGTTTAGCTGATTCAGAAACTGAAGGCGCTTTGGTATGCGATCTTAGTACTCTTTGCTGCAACTGAGTCTTATGCTGCTGTTGCTCATTATGTACCTTAACATCTGAGGCCTCCTTATCTCCATTTGGTGTTGGTATAGGAGGTCGTCCTTGGACTCTATGACGCTTCAGTGGCCGCTCCTCATGAGGATTAAAATCTGTCTTCATATTCGTCTTCTCATCCCTTTTCTGTTTAGGAGGCCTCCTTTGATGTTGCTTCTCTTGGCCTTCATGTTGTGCTTGCTGTTGCAGCTCATCTTGTTGTTGGGAAAGCGGTGGCAGCTCCGAGATTGTAGAAGATGTGTCAGATTCAGGAATGTGGGACCGGGTATATGATCTTAGTTTCCTCTGTTGAATCAAACAGTGATCGGGCTTCTGTTTCTGTCGGAGAAATAATTTCTTCTTTCTTGTTGATTTAAGCTTAGGGAACAATTGCATAGCAGGAATATCTGATTGCTTCTCCAGATTGACCTTCTGCCCATCACTGCTTGGACCACCAAGAGAAGTGGTGGCCGTTGGCGTGGATGCTGATATTGTATCATGCTTTACCTTGGTTTCGTCTTGCTGCCCACAACTTTCTTGTTGATGCTGCTTTTGCACTTCTTCCAATTGAATTTGTTTTTCAATTAGCTCAGCTTGTTGAGGCAGAATTTCGTTTTGCAAAGAGCTTTCTTCAAGTTGTTCTTCTTCAATCACATCAGTTTGTGGCGCTCCAGCGTCAACATTTACTTCATTCAATGGGGATGTTGATATTGTTTTGTTGTTCGACTCGGCTTTGTCTGGCTGCTGCTGCTTTTGCACCTCTTCCGAATGAAATCGACTTTCAATTACCTCGGTTTGTTCAGGTTGTGGATCATTTTGCTCAGAGCTTATTCCAAGTTGCTGTTCTTTTATCCTTTCATCTTGCTGCTCCCCAGCTTGAATATATTCGTTATTTTCACTTGCTTTGATAAATGCATGTACCATTTCTTCACCATTTGACCCTCCACCATCATTCAATTTCCCGCTTATGATCTGCATTATACGGTACATAAATAAAATTAAGTAAATAACTAACCATAAAGTTCACATTACCGAAGGAAACTGGCGTAAAGAAAATAAATAAAAAAGAGAAAAAAAAGGGGAGACAAACATCAAGTAGAGAAGTGCCAAGGGAAAAAAAAAAAGAATAATGTTGCTATCCACCGGAAATTAGAAAACAAAGTGGACAAAGTGTCAACAAAACCAGAATAAGAATGTACAAGAATAAAAGAATAAAACCTTGATACTCATAATTGAAAAATATAATAGAATCAAATCTACCCAGTGGTTTGGGTGGATGCAAATTATTTGGGAGAACCTTGGAATCATCATGGATGTTATTCTTTACAATGGGTTATGGCTCTAAGGTATCCTTGGATTATTTAGCTTCCAAACACCACAAAAACTTGTACCAATGCAACCTACTTATTCGCAGTCTACACAAAATACTGCTGATCGTTTAATAACCTCCATAGCTCCTTTAAATTCCTCTGAGCAAAAAAGAATATTCACTTACATGTTGATATACAACACAAAAAAAATTATTTAGTTCTTTCCTTGCATTACCTATTAAGGAATTTGCATAATATGAAAAATAACAAAATAAAAAAAAAAATCAAATAGTTTGCAGCTTCTGAAACTGATAATAAGGTGATTCCTAATGAAGAACTTCGGAACCACGTCTTAGCTACCCCAATGATCATACAATTTACAAGTATGTCAATGTTACTACAATAATACATCAGATCCATCCTAATTGATTATTACATCACTCTCTGTTTCTCAAATTTCCTGCACAATCTTAATTCAAAATCCAAGTTCATACCCCAATCAAGCTTAAGGTTCATCAAATAATTTAACACAAACAAATGCAGAAATGTAAAAAACAATACAAAAAAAAGAGGAAGTGTTATAAGCCTGAATCTGTACTTCGGTCACTTCCATGTCCTGTCTTTCAGCTTCAGACTGTTCTTCAACGGCTTCATTTTTCTCTTCAATACCTTGAGCAAGCTTTCCCAATACCTCTTCTTGCCCTTCATCGGTTTTATTCTCCTTCTCCTCATCAATCCCGTCAATTCTCATCTCTTGTGCTTCAGTTCCTCCTTCAATTTCCCGTTCCATCGGTTGATTTTCTTCTCCAATCTCTCCACCCCTGTCCTCAACACCACTTGGCCTACTCACTTCCTCTTCAATTCGTTGATCAAGCATTCCCAACACCTCTTCTCGCTCTTCTTCCCCTTTTCTCTCCTCATCAATCCCGTTAATTCTCATCCCTTGCGCTTCAGTTTTTCCTCCGATTTCCCGTTCCATCGATTGATTTTCCTCACCACCACATGACTTACTCACTTCCTTTCTCCTTCCCCGCCGCTTTTTCCTACTTCTCCAGCCCACCAGCACCGCACCCTTCTTCTTGGCAGCACCCCCATCAACCCAAAGAATGTACCGCCTATCAACCGTACACACTAGCTGCCCCCTCTGGCAAAGCTTCCCCAGATGATGCCTCAGAATATCCTCATGCCCCAAAGGCAAATTCTCATACTCCCTCACAATGAACTCTGATATCGCCCTCTCACTCAACCCTCCGCCCTCTTTCAACTCCTCTATTGCCCTTTGTATCATCTGCATTTATAGAAAAACACCAACAATAAACACTTTTCATTTGCATTTATCAATATGAATACACTAGAAAAATGGGCGTTATCTTGTCTAAAAAAAAAAAAAAGGCCGTTATTCCTGTTTGTAAATACTCGATCTGAATTGGATTCTTCCTTCCAATGCAAAACTTGAAAACAGTAAAAATTTGTTTTCTCACTTTCTTTTTGCGATTCAACCATTATTGAATTCTCTAATTGGATTAGATTCTACAATGCGAAATTTGCAAACGAAAATCGACCGAAACACCACCCAAAAAGGATCACCAATCGAAATTCAAAGTTCAACAAAAAAAATTCCAAAATCGAAATTCAATATTCAAAATTCCAAAATCACGAATATTGCATGTGCGATCACTCTTTTCTCGGCACAAAAACAGCAAAAAGCCAAACATGTAACGAAATCGAAAGCAAGCAACCGAACAGGAAGGAGAAAAATGAGTGAGAAATCGATTACGGAGGCGTAGGGAGGGTGAGTTGGGGTGGGCAAGTCATCGATGAGCGCTTGGAGTTGGCTTTCGACGTGGCTGTGGAGGCGGTTTTCGACGAGCTTCGAGGGGTTTAAGGTGGATAACTCCATTACAATGAGTTTTCTGAGATTGTCCATGGCGGAAAATTTTGGGGTCTGGTGCTGTGTGGTGCAGGGTTTTGGAGACGAATAAGGAATGTCAACGACTTGGGTTTTTGTGTCCGTTTGGTAATTTGATTCCGTTTCGAACTAAAAAATCAGTTTGAAATGGTGTTTGAAAACGCTTTTCTTAAACTTGTTTTGAATCATCAATTTGACAACTTGGAGCCTTCGACCAAAAACAAGAAAAAAATACACGATTTTCATGATTTTGCAGAGGCTTATTATTTATGTTATGCTTAATACTTGGGTGTCATTGTAACTGTCACGTCCTAAAACAGAAGTCAGTGACGTGAATGTTTTTAGAAATTAAATATGATTAAAAATATAATTAAACATTTAGAAACATAATAATTAAAATCAAAAGTAAAATATTAAAGAAATTTTTAAATAAATTCCATATTTTATTGAAATTAGTTTACATGAAAGTTATGGGGATTTTTCACACTTTTCTTAAAAACAAGTCATAAATTAAACCTCTGGCATCATTCAAGGTTCACTCACAGGATATATAATATTGTACATACACGAACATGTAAATAACATTACAGACATCAACTACAGTCTCAATATTCAAAGTTTACAGTCAAAGAATTTACAGTCCTTACATTTTCGACAAGGATGAAAGAGTGCAATGTCCTCACTTGATCAGACGGTAGCAACAAATTCAGCTACTCAACGCTGCTTCTAGCGTCACTTGGGAGGGGTTTAATATTTATAGAAACAAGCAAAACATGAACAGAAGGCCTAGTAAGATGTATTTTGAAATGAACTTTATAAACAAGTAAATAAATGAATACGTAAATAAATAAAGATATTCAGTTCCAACACAATAGTCGGAACCTAACATCATTTTTTCTGAAAGGAAGTATAAACTTTAAATTATATATTATAGGCATCAGAAAGTAATTTATACTATGATAAATTACTTACACAACCACAAACACAAAGCCTTAACACCACCGTAGTGGCCCGGTCCGGGTTCCAGGTTCTGCCCCCGAGGATACTCGCTGCATATCCTTTCTAGGTCATCAGCAGTTTACCAGTTTGTAAGATATTTTATCTTAAGAAATCGTTCATTAAAACTCTGAAATAGTTCATTATAATTCTAATAACTAAAATCAAGCTATTGTGTTAAATTGTTTTTTTTTCCGTAAACATGTACTTTCTTTAAAATATTTGCAATGTCAAAACTCTTTAAAACATAGTGTTAAAGAAAAGGAAAAGAAATCATACCTGTCAATTGTCAAACCTATGGCTAGCCTCTCATTACTTTAGCTTCTGCTTCCTTTAAAGCCTTAATATTCAATCTTCCATGCTAACTTTATCATAAAAGCAATGTCTTAGAATACATTTTTCATTCCTAAAACGAATTTAGCTTAATCATGTGTAATTGTTTCTTATTAGTGTGCCTTGACTCAAATCTAAGTTTCACAAATGACTTTATAATTCAATTTAGGGGTTCTTTAAAAATTAAAATTCAATTTATTGGTTTAGTTTCCCATCTAATTCCGGCTCAAAAATAAGTTTTTGAAAAAATTTCAACAGCATACCGATATAAATAGAAAAAATACTAAACATGTAATTCAAGTTCAATTTCACAACAAATTCTTTAGAAATTGTCAAAACTAATTTTCAATCAATTCAACAAGTCTAATAACTAAAAACTCCTAAATTTAATTTAATTCTAACAACAATAATTCAAAATTATTATCTAACCAAAATCTCAAAATCTCAAATCAATAATTCAATTTAAAGTATGAGTTTTCAAGAAATATTTATCTCAAAATGATTAAAACTAGCTTCTCTTCATTTCTCTCTGTTTTTTTTTAGTGTCTCGGCCGTACAGCCGAGGGAGAGAATGCCGGCAGGAGAGAGAGAGCCCGGAGAGGAAGTGGCCGGCGTGGAAGAAAAAAAAAAGAAGAGAGAGAGAGGTGTGCTGCCGTGAGAACCAGAGGAGAGAGAGAGGAAAAAGAAAAAGAAAGATTGAGAGGGTGAGAGAGTTCTGGGCAGCCACGGGGAAGGAAGGGAAGGAAAAAGAAAAAAAAAAGAAAAGAAAGAAAGGAAAAAGAAAAGAAATAAAAAGAAATAAAAAAATATATATTGAAATTAAGTGTATTTTTAAAAATTTTAGAGGTGAAATTATAAATACTAAAAATAATTAAAAATTTCTTAATTAATTGAGAAAATTAAATTAGACACATTAATAATTTATAATTTAACATAATTAAATATATTTAATTCTGAAGGACGTTATAGTAATTTTTTATTTTCTTTTAACTAATTAAATGACAATTATTTTTTTTTAATTAAGTAACAGAAATAATATTTTTTACTACTTTGAGATGTATTTCTATTTTTTTCCTCAAAAAACAAACCTCAAATCTAAACCACCCCCAAACACCCTGCTTTAGCTCAAACTTACATCAGTTGAATCCTTTCTCTAACACATATTTCCGATTCTATTCCTTTTTGAAATTACACCTCAACTTGGATATGCATATCCAAACGTCATTTCAGACAAATTCAAGCCATACTTTACTTTTCTTTTTTTCTCTTGAATGGCAAACCACACTTTTCAAACTTAACACTTTAAACCATCATATTTCAATTTATTTAACAAACGGGCCTTCAATTGTTAAAATTAATTAAAAAATAAAGGATCAAAGTGATAGTGGCCAAAAGATTTATCTTTTGCTTCTACTTTTAAGATGTGGTATTTGGCAGGACACTAAAATGGTACAGCTGTTTAATCTGCGTGTTTGTGTTCCCCCCCGTCCCCTTCTTGTTTTTTTTTTTGTTTTTTTGTTTTTTTGTTTTTTTTTTTCTCCTTTTAGCCATGTTTTTTCCCCGTCAGTTTTCAACTATGATTTTAGAAATTATAATGTACTACACAAACTTATTTTTAATGATTTGGCCGGAAGCCTGGAGCAAAGGGAATGCTCCAAATGGCAGAGACAACTTAAAAGCTCTTCTAAAAGATTACATTTAAATTTTTTTATTACAGTTAAAAATTCTGACATAAAAACTCTTAAAAATTCTTATAAACTCGAATCAGTAAACTGAACAAATCTTATGAGCTCTTCATTCATTTATTAATTAGGTGTTCGAACATTGACCAATACTATTTAAAATCAACTATTGTTTTGTTATTTATCTTTAAAAATATAAGAAGTTTCTCCGATAAACCTCTTTACTTGTTAGATTTTCTTTCTCTAGTAGGCCTCTCTTCATTAATTTATTAATCTGGCGTCGGAACATTGAGCAATACTATTTAAAGTCAATTATTGTTTTGTTTTTCATCTTTAAAAATATTGGAGTTTATCCGTTAGGCTTTTCTACTGGTGGAATTTGACTGTCAAAATCATATTAAACTAAAAAAATATGTAAAATAAATAGGTTTTAATACAAATCTGACGGTTAAAAGTATTAGTTCATTTTTTTCTTGTTAAAGGTAGAGAAACTCCTTAAAATATTAATAGTAATAATAAAAAGAGATTTTCTCTAGTGTTCATTTTTTTTAGAAACACTGGTGTTTCCTGCTTATCATTCGTCGAATTGTATTAAATCTGGTTAAAAGTCAAATTAATTAAAAAAGTAATATAGATCTGACGGCTGATAAACAGAGGACACCAATGTTCTCAAAAAATAGGAAACATCAAATAAATTTTCTAATAAAAAGGAAGAAATACCAATTAGGTAGTCGTAAACATTTTTTAAGTGACGGAGAACGAAAGCTACTACTGTTATTAGTCTAATTAGCATGGGCTCAAAGTCACGTCAAAAAGTGCCAAGTTGAACTCAATTTTACTATTTTTCATGTCGTTTTTGAAAACGTTTTTGTGCACCTTTTAAGGTAAGAAAATAAAATTAGTATTTAAAACCACGTATGTTTAGTAAATATTTTAAAAATAAGAACGAAAACCAAAAAAAAGTGAAAAAAGTTTTTGTCAAAAAATAAAAATTAGTTGAAGTTGTTTTGTCATTTTTATTTTCATGTTCTATACTGTTAAGTAACTTAACACATATTCGAATCCTTATCTACAAATAAATAAGTAAGTAAATAAATAAATAATCTTAATCTTTAAAAAAGAACAATCCTAAAAAAATTAACCAAAAGCAATTTCAAAAACAATCTTAACACGTTTTTGTATACCTAAAATAATCTTAAAAGAATTAACCAAAAACAATCTAAAAAACAATCTCAAAAAGTTTTTATTTCCATTTTCGTCCTTCAAATAAAAACATTTTAAAAACACTACTAAACAGGCTATGTCAATATATAGACATGTCAGATTGGAAATATATTCTGTCATCAATTAATTAGACTATCAGAAAAAGAAACCTTAGTCAGAAAGTTACTTTCATAAGATTTAAAATGGTGATACAAATAAGAATACATAAGGTAATGGTAATTTTTTTTTTATTTAAAAAAAACGAAGATGTTGATTATGAATTTAAAAGTATTGTGGAATGAAATATGTAGTTCTTTAAGGATTCTAAAAAAAAAAAAAAAAGTAGTTCATTAAGAGTTGTTGATACCTGATTTTGTACCAGTCCCATTTAAGAGTGCAGGCTTAACCACGACATCACGTGACGTTATTGACCAGGCTTCATGGACCTAAGCCACACTTAGGGAACTATCGTGAGTCGAGGCTTGGTGGGCCATGTGTGATCAAGTAGGCTCGTTTGTCATTTAATTCAAACCAATTTGAATCCCGCTTAAGTGGTTTTTAAATATATATGGGTGATGGAGAATTCCTAAAAAGCCTTCCCCCCATCCTTTTGGAAGCCCAAAATTCCTAAGTCCACACCTTAGAACCCTATTCCTCTTCGTCAATGTTGATTCTCAGTGTTTTGACTCCAATGGAGGCTTTACCTGCGTCAGACATGCCTATTGGCGACTCCCTTCGTGGTGGGCATGTCTTCTGGAACATCCTCTTCATATCCAAGTATACCTAACGGAGCCTTTTTTCATGCCAGGCATCCTTCATTTGGACTTCTTCTCGCCCAGCTCACCATCAGAGCAAACTTCGCTTAAAGCATGCTCACCCTTCAGAGCAACTTAACCCGGAGCAGCCTTCATCTGGAGCACGCTCACTGTCGAAGCAGCATCATTTGGAGCAACTTTTGTGTCAGAGCCAACTTGACGGCTGTTTAGCCAACTTTGTGTAAACTATCTCTGACAAGGTTTGACACGCGATTAGACCTCCGAAAGAGGAAGTCAACGGAGCATGAAGTTGAGTCAAACACTGTTGAGAATTTCAGACTTCGGAACTCTTCACGTGAGCTTCAAACCTAGAACTTTGCCTCCAAGTCTTTCCATTTTTTGGGTATTTCTTTGTCAATCCGGAAAGTCATCTGATCACTTTGCTCCAAAGGGAATTGCGCGTGTAGGTCTCTGTCAAAGCGCCGCTAATTGGGCTTCGGAGCAGCCATCATGAACCTTTCTTTCTATTTTCGGACCAGCTCTTCTTTAACTCCGGAAAGGCTTCTGATGACTTTGTTTCTGCGGATCGTGTATGTATGTTTCGTTTAGAGCGCTGCCGATTTACCTCTAGAGCAAGTTCCTAAAAGTCTTCATTCCATTTTCAGCTAATCTCCTTTTCAACTCCGGAAAGGTGTCAGAAGGCTTTGCTCCATTGGGATTGCTTGTGCAGGCGTTCGTCAGAGCACGTCGTACGAACTTCCAGAGCTACTGCCAAAATCCTACCAACTTCACCTATAAATATCCTCATCATTCTCATTCTAGATGACATGAAGACCCGAGAACTTTGAGCCCCCTTTTTCACTCTTATCATCTTCCACAAGCTCTCCCATTCTTCTGAGATTACTCCCTTTAGACTTCTTTAGTCTCTTGCTACAGAGGCTTGAAGTTCTTCAAAGCTTCTAAGTGTTGACAGCCTCAGAAACTCTCCCAAAACACTTTTTGATCCATTTCCACCACCATCACAAAGTTCTTTGAAGTTTCTTCACACTTTTTCAACAACATTCAAGTCTTTATTTTCAAGGTCACTTCCACTCACCGTTGGAGCAAGTGCTCTGAGCGTTGTTCTTACTCCCAGAGCAACACGTCCTGCTTTTAGAATTCTTTTCACCAGAGCCTTATCCACCTCACCAACTTCACTCTCACTCTTCTCCAAGCCTTATCCACCACTTGAGTCACCATCTTCGCTCCTGGAGCAGCCGGCATGTGTCTCCAGAGCACTGCTCTTTCAAGGCACCTTCGGCCTCCTTTTCTCCATCTCCATTAACTACTTGGTCACACCTCCCACCATTCTTCATCTCCGGAGTTCTTTCATTTGTGTTTGCGGATTTTCTAACGTATTTTGCAAAAGCATTTTCGTCATTTCAGCAGCAAAGAGGATCTTAGAACATGTGTCATTCGGTCTAATTTGGGCCTAACCGACCCTACTGCTTCGTATGAGGTCTTGCCATCATCATCTACTTCAAAGCTCGACCACGTCTGATCTACTTCTGACAAACTGCGTGCTTATGCATGTCAACCCCCGACACGTCGACCCTCTAAATCTTCCAGACCCCGACAAGAGTTTATTAGAAAAAATTAAATAATTAAATCCTCTTATAATTAAAAAAAAACTATAGGCCGTTTTCTGAATGTAAATATTGTTAGATTGCAAAGGCTTTATATCGAATTTCTTTAAAGCATACTCAACATACTAAAATTATGTGTCAATGTTAAAGTACTCAACATACTAAATTTATGTGTCAATATTAAAGTTTAACATTTGAGTGAAAAATCATCCTCTAATATAATGTTATTTTTTATGTTATATTTAACAAACGTTATATTTTATAGTAAAGTTGACAATAATTATTATAAAGATCAAATTTTACTATTGGGTAATACATTGGCCTTTCTTTTTCATCAGATCATTATATTAACTTTTATAAGTTTAAAGCTCAACGATTGTTGCAAAAAAATAGATAAACATTTGAAAAAAAATATTATGCATAGGAGATAATATAAAATATATACAAATACATTATTTTATTTTCATACTGAAAAATATAACTTGAAAATTGCTAGACGCACCATCAAAACACCATTATGAATAAGAAATGGACCCTATTTATAGATTACATGCTACAAGATTTACTTTCTATTAATGGGTGATTATTTCATAGCATTGTTCTTATAAAATTTGTTAATGGGTATATTCATTTTATAACTCAAGTCATATTGTTACAGTATTTTTTTATAAAAAAATTTAAATTTAATTTTTTGCTACAGTATTTTTTTTTCACATACACAATTTAAATTATAATTCAAGTCATGCAAAAGAAAAAACATTTAAAGAGAGAGTCATGTATGATCATTTATAAAAATAACTTAATAAAAAGTTTTATTAGCACAATAAGTTTTAAAACTTATATTTGTAAAATGCTTAAAGAACCACCAACAATAGACACACTTTTTTTTTTATTTTTTTATTTTTTTATTAAATCTAATTGTGGTTATCTGTAGAAATAAAAAAGATCTTTTTTTATGAATTCACTTTATTGGTTAGTTATTCCATGAAATTTCTCCGCACTGGTTCATAAGAGCCTACTCAGCTAAATAATAAATAAATGTATTACAAAAAAAAATAAATGTATTGCTCACTGCTAGTCTGCGTTTTTAGTCTTATTCACATTGCTCTATGCAGAATTCAGAATAGCTATTGAATGCTTGGGGTTGAATTTGGTTGAGGTTTTTGGGAGATTATGGCGACTACAGTCCTTATAAGCACCGGGAATTCAATTCCTTGCCATTTCCTCTCACCAGGAATCAATCATGTAATATTTCATTCACTTTCTTCATATTATTTTTCGTCTTGGGTTATTAATTTTTTTTTTTTTTTGGGGTTTCATTACTTTATTTATTTTGTTAATTCATCAGGTAAGGACAACTGAGGCAGTTTTACCCTTCCGGTTTGGGTTCTCAAGCTGCAAAATTTCTTGCTTCAAGAAAAAAACTGGGTTTGTTTTATTTGCTACAAAGGTTAGTAAAACTTGGTTTTTATTATGAAATTTTTTTGAACTTTCTGGATAAAAGCTGGTTTTGATTTTTGGGGTTTTCCCCCTTTAGGGAATATCTTTTGATGACAAGTTGACCATGAATTATTCCCATCACAATTGCTCCATCAAGGGTAATGGAGAACCGCTAACTAGTTCAAAGGCAATTGAAAAGTATGTCAAAAATATCTAATTTATGATGTTTGGTTTCTTTTCTGAATTTAAATATTGGTAGATTGCAAAGGCTTTGTATTGAATTTCTTTACATGGAATTTAGGAACTTAGTGAAGAAGACGGGGAAGAAAGAGTATCATTTGTGGAAGAAAAAAGATTCTGCGGGCTCGGGTCAGAAGGCGCTCAATCTTATTAGAATTGTGAGTTTTAGGCATCTTTTGTGCTTGTCAATGTTGGTTTTTGCTTTTGGTATTGTATTGAATTGTGACTTTTGTAGAAGAAATTAGGTTGTAGATTTCCTTCTTCTTTAATGTGTTGGAAAATCTGGCAGCTTTCTGTTCTTCCTAATGAGAAAGAGGTTGTTTATGGAGCGTTAAATAAATGGATAGCTTGGGAGACGGAGTTTCCATTGATTGCAGCAGCTAAAGCTTTGAGAATCCTGAGGAAGAGGAGTCAATGGAAACGAGTGATTCAAGTATGACTCTTAGTGTGCTTCTTATTGATGAGAATTACTTCTGGTATTTGTGATGATACATGTGAATTCTCTTATTAGACTATAGTTGTGTCGCACAAATAATAGCCGAAAATTCATGTTCATATATCTAGATGGTTTCATTGCATAGATAGGGTTATAACTTCCATTGTCAAACCTGATCAGCAATTCCGGATTTCCTTATATTTTAGGATGGCCTCTATTAATAAAATAGTAAAAATAAAATACGGGTGAACATTTTTGGTTTTTATGTCCCCATTCAATTCTTTATCTAAGCTTAAGTGAAACATGGGTGTCCTAAAACCACAAAATTTTGGTCCAGTTCAACATCAAATAAGTTTATTGGGTACTTCCTAGATTTTTCTGCTGGATTTTGGTTTGGACTTTGTTGATCATGGTTGTGGATTTCATATTGTGCTTCTTCATCAATACTAGTGAGGATGGATGCTTTTGTGAAAATAAAATGTAGAAGTGTGGGGCTGAAATGCCACGTATCTATGACCGAGATTACCAAAGGGATAATTGTCATAAGCAGCGTAACTTTTCCCTGAAGACATAATGTTGTTTATTTTCCATGGGCCAAAAGAATTGGACTTTCATACGTCTACCAAGATCTTTCTGATACAACCGGCTCAAGCAACTCAAATTAGACAAGAAAATAGGAAGAAAAACAGTTCGATCAAGCCCTGTAATTAGACTTAGATTGCATAAATGCCTGGAAAAATACAAAGATTTGGCTCGAGTGACCCCTTGCACTCCCTAGAGCATAAGCTCGTCTAAGTACGGAAAATAGTGAAAGTTGATCGATACCCCCTCCACCAATCAGCTCTTGTTTTATTCGCTCCCCTCTAACTAACTAACCGCATCAATCCCAATGCCCCTTCTCTCTCCTGAGCATTCCCACATCATTGCATCCAATAGGCGTCTCCATGACTGCCAGCTCACCCTCTCTGTCATCACCCAAAGTTGCGGATTCACCTTCTGCCACTTCAACATCCCTAATGTCACTTGAAATGCCCTGCCTTTGCCTCCTTTGCCTCCAAGTTTCTTACGACGTGCGTAGGTAAAACGTACAGGGGGCCTATCACTTTCATAAGTTTTCTGTCATATGCTTGAAAAATTATTTTGAATAGTATTTCCTCTTTTAACATTCAACAATCTTATTGGATTCTTTATAATGTTCCTGAGAAACTTCACAAAATTGGTTCTATATTGATTGTACAATAAATATTATGTCCGTTTGTACACCATATAGGAAGGTCTATTGAACAATCTAGAAGTGTATTGACCAGGCTACGTCATTGGAAGACTTTTAGTGCTTGCTTTCCGCACTGGTCAATTATCTGTATTGTGGATGTACATGAATATGTTTAGCTCAGTCAGGTATTACAAAGTTCTATTGGTTGCTAATCTCAGTGTTATTCAGGTAGCAAAGTGGATGTTGAGCAAAGGTCAAGGAACGACAATGGGAACGTATGACACTCTTCTACTAGCATTTGACATGGATCAGAGGGTAGATGAAGCTGAATCATTCTGGAACATGATTTTGCATACACATAAGCGTTCTATCTCAAAGCGGCTATTTTCGAGGATGATTGCATTGTATGATCATCATGACGTGAAAGATAAGATAATAGAGGTACTGTGACTAATTTTCTTTTTATCTTTTTCAAAAACAGATGAATTGATTAACCTTATCACTAGAATTTCAATTGTTAAACTTCTTTGCGCGTATCTGGTTCTTCAGTTTTACAACTAGTATGGTACAATTAAAGGATGATTCGGAGTTTCATATTTTCATTTTGAAATTGATCAGGTATTTGCGGACATGGAGGAACTGAGTGTAAGACTAGATGAAGATACTGTCAGGAGAGTGGCTTATGCCTTCCAGAAACTTGGCCAAGAAGAGAAGAAAAAACTTCTTTTGAGAAAATACCAGTGCAAATGGAAGTACGTTCACTTTAAGGGTGAAAGGATTAGAGTGAGAAGAGATCCATCGGCTGACAATGGCAGATTAACCAACTAAAAGTGAGTGCGCCGGTTGAACAGGCCGTAGAACTTACTTATTGGGGAGATCACCAGGAGAAAACTTTGTTCTTGCTGGAGAGGTATGGTTGGCTTAATCTCTTTTATCAGCATAAAACTGGTGGATTCTTCTTGTATAGACTTTAGCTGCTCTTTAGTTTTTAAGATGATTTTTCCCCCTTTCCTGACTGTATACAATCTCATTATTTTATTTTACATTATTTGCATGAAGGCTGTAATTCACTTAGAGGTTAAGGCTGGTCCATTTGATTTTGGGAGTGAGATTGGGAAAGTGCTTGTTGGTTGTAGTTGCAAAGAGGCAATAGTTGTAGTAATTACAGTGAAGTGTTGGAAAGTGCTGATCATGATTCTAACAGACATACAGACCTATTTTAAGTGCACTCACTCACAGATGCAGAATTGGTCCGCTGATTAATGAAAATCGACCTGATGCAGGCTTTTAGAACAACATATTTTTCACCTTCAGATCCTCATAGTCAAATATAAGGAATTCACTTTCCTAACTGAGAGGATTTACAAAATTGTTATGCTTGTCGCTACTAACATTTGTCATGCTTTCAGGAAGTGCGCATAAGCAGAGCTTTAGAAAGAGAGGAAAATGTTGAGGAACTAATATTGGATAGGCGTATATAATTATTGTTTTCATCCTAATGAGGACACCCTGACACTTTGTGCTGGGTATTCCTTATCTCTTTCTCTATGTCCCCATAATACTAAATTTGGTGTGGGGGGGGGGGGGGGGGGGGGGGGTTGTAAAGAACACAAAAGAAAAGATGTAAACCGTTGAAAACAACTAGGCTAAGGACACTGCGATGGGACTCCTAACATTATGGGGTCCATCAGTCCAAGAATACCATCCAAAAGCATACTCTTCCTCTTTCTCATCATTCTTGCTCGTTACTGGTTTCTCACTTGTTGCTTCAACTGTTATTGTGAAGCTCTTCTTCTGGCCAACATGGTTAAAGAATAAGATACTTGGTTTCGCCTTCACTGACACCCTGGATGGAGGCGTGGAGCTGAAGAAGTAAGTGCTCTTGGGTTGACCCACATTTGTGACGGTCCTTTTGACAGTCACCGTGCCATTGAGTTTGGAGATGGCCAGTGAAGGATAGTTGAGGTCCATGGCTGTAGGCGGTTTTACTGGGCAGGAGAATGATGAGTCAACGACCTTTACACCAATGCTGCATAAGTAGAGAAGGTAATCTGTGTATGAAGCATCGTAGACAAGGCCAGGATCGGCCACCTTCGCAGGGCGGAAGTGGCCAGAGCCATATGAAAAGGAGTTTGCTAAGTTGCCATCCTCCTCGTTGAATGGCAAACCCAGATTGTTTTTCTGTATGGCTGCAATATATAGAGATGAAATAAACAAATGATGTAGGGTTTACAGTTCAACATAGTTTGATTGAATCTGCTTAAAAGGCTTAGAATTAGTTTTCTGAAATGCTCATTTGTGTTGTGGATTACGCTGGCGATGTAACAGTTCTGCTTAAAAGGATCTTTATCAAACACACTACTGAGCCCTCAAGCATAGTTATGCTAAATCGGCATTAAAGTTTAGACTTGCTTCCTAGTATGATGAAAATAAATCTTTCAAGTTTTTTACCTGTGGCCATGAAAATAACCAAAATCCGACTTATGGATGTTTACAAGTAATTTACCTGTGGTCATGATAGCAGATCTTATGGCAGCACTGCTCCAAGTAGGATGAATGGCCTTAAGAAGTGCTGCGGTGGCTGCAACATGAGGGCAAGCCATTGAAGTTCCTGAGACTAGGTTATACTTGACAATACGAGGATCATTCGGCAGCTTTGTAGGTGAATCTTCCTCAGTCCATGCTGCCAATATGTTCAGTCCTGGAGCTGTTATGTCCGGCTGCCAAAAATGAACCATCATGAACACCAAAATCTTTCAAAACCCTATTACATGTATACATTTCTAGAGATGATAAAAGACGGTAGATCAGAGTGTACCTTGAGAATGTTTGGTTCTATGACGTTTGGACCCCTACTAGTGAAAGCGGCCATGAAAGGTGCTGGCTTGGTGTGCAACACCGTCATTCCCGGTAAGATATTTGCCCGTGGCCATTTGGTCGAGTTGATGTACTCAAGAATTCTCATGGCATTTTTGTAAGTCACCGCCGTAGCTGGAAGAAGGTGAGGATCGCAAGGTATCTCAGCTCCGTTTGCTCGGGTGTTTGCTAGTATGAAACCAACTCCACCAGCACTCTTCACGACTAAGCCTTTTCCAACTCTTGAGTTGTTGCCTCTCATGCACAATACTATCTTTCCCTTGGTCTTTTTCGGTGACAGAGAATCCGGCAGGCAAAGACTGAAAAACAATTGAAATTTGTTACTTAAACCAAAATTAGTAGCTAAAATGCAATATATATCGCACAATTTTAAAACCAAGATCATGTATGATCTTACCTTGCATTATCTCTTAACACTCCCGGTTCAGCTAAATCGGTCGCATAGGCCAGAGGGTACATCTTCTTTGGATTTAGCTTACTTGGTGTGACGGTTTGTCCCTGAAGAACAAGATCAATTTCAGATCAGCATTTGAAAAGCGCTCCTTTTGATATAACGCAGGATCAACCCGCAACCGTCCCCCAAGTGTCACTAGACCAACCAGTCTTAGGCGCATTTGAAGAGAACTCTTAACAGTAACACTACACAGCAATCAAATTATTTGGCAAACAAAATTTTACAGAAAAAAAAAAGTCTTAATTATAGATCAATATTTTTATGAATAGTTATTACACCGAACGACACCCCCCAACATCAATGTTGTAGTGCATCTTCTCTATTAAAAATCATGATGACACTCCTACCATTAGATTACTAAAATGGATATTTATATTTTTATACCCAAAATTTATTAAAAAACTATACTTTGAATTTTTGATATCATCAAATATATACCTTTAAATTAAAATTAATATAAAAATTTATAGCTTATCTAATCAATAATTGATTTTAACCTTTAAAATTACTAAACTATCATTCAAAAAAGAGAAAAAAGAAAACTAGAGCTTCCCAACATTAATATTGCAGTGCATCTTCTGTATTAAAAATCATCATGACACTCCCACCATTAGATTTCTAAAATGGATATTTATATTTTTATACCCTGTATTTTGGGTTTATTAAAAAATTATACTTTGAGTTTTTGATCTGATTAAATATATACATTCAAATTAAATTTAATATACAAGTATGCAGCTCATCTAGTCAACAATTGATTTTGACCTTTAAAATTACCCAACTATTATTTAAAAAAGAGAAAAAAAAAACTAGAGCTTTTTGATAGTAAACAAAATAAAAATAAAAAACACACAAAAAAACCACTTCGAGGGTATTTTGCATATTTTAAGGTTAAACTTGTAAGTATATATATATATATATATATATGTATATATATATTTGGATTTTTTCATTTACCATTTTTTATTAAGGGTATTTTAGGCATTTTGAATGTTAAAATTGAGGGTTGACCATGAAAATATATAAATTTATATATTAAATCTAATTTAAAGGTATATATATTTAATGAGATCAAAAGTAAAATTATTTTTTTTGAATAAACTTATTTGTTTGAATAAACCCAAAACACAAGATATAAAATGATAACTATTACTTTTTGAAAATACCCAAAATGTCCATCTTAAAATGATAACAAACAATTTAAGTCACTAAAATATGTAAAAAAAAAAAAAAATGGTCTTACCAACATATTCTTATGGTGTTTCTTTCTTTCTTTCTTCCTTTCTTCCTTTTTTTTTTGTTTTTTTTTTTATAAGCAACATATTCTTATGGTTGAATTATAAAGTCATGATACTTATTGTCACTGTTTTTCTTTATCTAACCATAAATTGACATGTCAATTCTTGTTAAAATACTCTTGCCTAGGATAATAATTAAGTATAAAAAAAGAAGACTAATACTTTAAAATGTGTCTAAATTTTTACCTTTCATTCATGATTACTATCTTTTTTAATCAAATAACTACATTAGTCAAGAAAGTATTAATCAAGAGTAAGAGATAAAAATGCTTATGCATAAGTTCAACAATTTTCTCTTAATATTATAATATATAACATTGTTGAGTACACTATTGCTTATAATATAACTAATTGTAATATTTAATATTTTGGTCTCCACATGAAAAATAGTATGCAAAATTTCTTTCTTAATTACCTCAACTCTCTTGCCATTTCCAAGCACAACAGGCGCAATAAACTCTCTGTCTACACTGCTAGCTCCGACGGTGATGATCCACGGTGCCGGGTTCGACAAAGTCCCCGGTGTCGGGCCGCTGTTGCCGGCACTACAAGACACAACAATGTTCTTCTTCGTAGCGTGCAATGCTCCAATGGCAATGCCATCGTCGGTGTAGTTGACAGGCGACGATGTCCCGATCGATATGCTGATGACGTGGACGCCGTCGGCGATGGCGTCGTCAATGGCCGCTAGCATGTCCTCCATTAAGCATACGTTGCCGGCGACTTTAGGCTTGCCTGGCAACGCCCAGCACACTTTGTATATGGCGAGCCGGGCCAAGGGTGCACCCCCTGAGGCCGTGCCGTGGGCAAAGCCGCCGATGGCGGCGACGTTGGGGACGGTTCGGCCTGCGACAGTCGAGGCGGTGTGAGTCCCGTGGCCATCTTTGTCACGGGGTGAGGGATAGTCCTCGGTGGTGTTAAGAGGGCCAAATTGTTTCTCAAAACCTTTAAGGTAGTAGCGAGCTCCTATGATCTTCCTGCAAAATAAAGCCAACAAGTTATATGCATATTTGAATTTTGACCCACATTTTTTTTGAGTAATATGATCTTTTAGCGAGCTCCACATTTTTTTTTTATAAAAAGATTCTGAAAGCTTGCATTAACTTATGTGTTTTGGACTTGAAAATATATGATCAATAATAAGTTAAGTTATGTTTTTACGCTGTAAAGATATCTTACAAAAATTTATGAACAATAATAAGTTAGGTTCCCCCTCAAAAAAAAAAAAAAAAAACAAGAATTATTAGTAGTATTATTATTATTTTTTTATATTTCATAAAGCTCTGAAACTAAAGTTCAGAAGCAATTGTAAGTCGGTTCCCAATTGTAAGTCGTCTTAAATTCATTAAAGAAGAAAAGGCTAATGTACCGTAAGTATATGACCTGGCTTTTACAATAAAATTAACTTGGGCTTTCCCTAAAAAAAAAGAAAAAGAACAACATAGGCTTTTCGGCAGTTGTGCTTATTAAAGAAGTTTTTAATTCCTAATTAGAATTTTTAGCTTCTTAAAACAGAGGTGAAATATAATTGGATTTTTTGTCGATCATTTTTAACACGTCTTACTAAAAAAAATCCTAATTAACAACAAACCAATCATTTAAAAAAAATTCTAAAAATACTTTAAAAATTTAAAATCAAAATATTTTAAAATGTCTTAAAAATATTTTTAAAGCTATTAGTTCCTATTAATTAAATGAAAAGGTCATTTTGGATATTATATGTTTTAAAAATTAATCTCAGAGTACCGAAAATGTATTTCTTTAAAAATGAAGGTATTATTTTGATAGTATTAAAAATACAAGATATCAAAAAGATGTCTCACTGTAAGAGTATTAAAATGATTTTATCCTATGAAATAATAAAATCAAACTCCTAAGAGCATTTTAACCAAACACCGGTTAGTTGTTACTGAAATTCTTGATAATTCTTTTAAGAGCTGTAAAAGAAATTTTAACCTTTTGTTTTTTTGTTGTTGTTGTTGTTTTTTTTTTTTTTGGCAATCCTAAACTGGTTCTTAGTGCAATTATATAACTGAAAAAAAAAAAAATGTAAAACGATAGCAAGTCTTGCTATTAGCATCTAAGAATAAAATCTGTCTCATATATGGAGCACACATAACAAAAATAGACCCCATGTAGACCAATTATATATATATATATATAGTAACACATATACTCAGTTAAAGCCTAGATGATGTTATATAAGCACTTGAAATGTCAGTTTAAGTGTTAGAAAAAAATGTCAGTTAAGTACAAATACTCTTTCATTGATTGGCATAGCTTTACCTACGTCATATAAATGATGTATTGGATTAATCACACATAGCCGTATTGGCTATTTATCACGCGCACTCCTAAAAGTTCCGACGGGATTGTACCTCCGTCATACTTAAGAAATGAACTTTTCACGTGGGACCCACACCTTGTCTCGCCATAGGGTTTTTCATTTATCACAGGCCTAATCTGTCCATCACTTTGGCGTCTCTTGATCCCAAAGTCATATCATGAATTTAGTATACACACATACTATCATACATACGTATATACATACATACATACAAGTGTACAGTCATTAGTCCACTAATAAATAATATACAAAGCAACACAGGAAATCAAGTAGGGCTGCAAAAAATTGGAATAAAACAGAGAAAGTTGTCCTCTAATGCTGATAGAAGTTCACAAGATGGGGAATGCAAAAAGCCAAAAAAAAAAACACTCATACCACCTATTGGATTGGAAATGGACAAGTTAGGGTTATCAAAATGGGAATTCACAATATTAATTTGTATCTTATCTATTTTTATAAATTATCACACTGCTGTATATATTCTCATAGAAAACACGTTACTCCAGGGCAGTATGCAGGCCCAAACACCAACTATATATGTTTATTATAAAATTATACGAACTCTGTTTATTTCACTGATTCAAGTTTAGAATTTGAATTTTGTTATAATAAAAAACTTTTAGAAACAGTCACAACTAATTTTTTTACTACAGTAAAAAACTTTTACATAAAATTATATCTCAACTTGAATTAAAAACTCGAATCAACGAACTAAATGGACTCATAATGTATCATTTTGAGTATTAAAAAACGTTCAATTGTACAAAGCCAAATAAGTATTTTACTGCAAATTAAGATGATGATGGGTGAGTTGTTTTCAATGAATTTAAGTACTGAATTCTTTAAAAAAAAAGGACAAGGTTTTTCAAATACCATTCCCAAAGGAAAGTGCACACGTGAATACCAATTCCCTACGACGCTATATATATATATATATATATATATATATATATATGCAAGTGGTGAATATATGTTTGGGAATTTGAAAACGACGGCACCTACTTTAGACTAGTCAGGCAATTACGACTGCTTGAACAGGGAATTATTGATGGTCCCCCTTACAAGACTAAAGAAGTGTTTACAATGTTGGAATTCTAGGATTTAAGTGGCGTTTAGTTCATGGATTTAAATTATGTGATTAAAATTATTTTTGATTTACGTGTATTTTTTATGAGAGAAAATATTGTAGCGAACCACGAACCATGATTCGAATCAGGGAATGAATCTAGGTACCAAACGGACTCTTAGTTGCCCTTCAAAGAAGATAATGACACATTATTATTATTATTATCTTCTTCTATGGTTTATGATAAGATATGATTATTCTATGGTTGAATTATATGCCTAACAGATGGTATAAAAATAATATTATTATCCAATATTGCAGCCGCCTCCTTATTAATTAATGTGTGTTCTAATTAGAGGTGGTTAAGGCAAAAAAATACTTAATGCTAATTATGTAGTGATTTTTTCACTGAAGAGAAAGTCAAATAGTTAAGAAACTTAAGAAACTCAGTTAGATTTATAGGATGACAAAAACTAATAGAGGCTAATCAATTACCGTCCAATTGTTTGAGTTTTACTGGTTTCAATATATATATATATATATATATATATATATATTCACGCTTGACAAATAAAACTAATTATTAATAGGTGTTAGGAGAATTTTCTTTAGTTTTTTTATATAATTTAATGATTGCATACATTTAACAGTAATTTTACACTTAATTCTACCTGTTTTTAAATTTAGCACCTCAAATTTAATATATATATATATATATATATATATCTATATATAATACATAGTATTTTTTTAATATTATAAAATATGACCAATGATGATTGCAAGAAACAATAGGATTGAGTCGTTTCTATGGAAGTCACTTTGTGGCATTTATTAGAACTGTCGCTTCAATTAAGAAAGGCATAATCAATGCAAGACAAAGGCTCACAATCTGTATCAACATCTTACATGTTCTTTTACGATCCATGAAAGAAAATGCCCGTAGGGTCCAAGAAAAGTGGAGGAAAAAGGCAAAATGCTTATAACATGTATTAAGTGCTCTTCACATATATTATATAGTTGAAAAGAAATAAATAAAAACTTTTCACATGTATGTGTGCCTAGACTCTTCTCACCCAGCACAAGGGCCAATCGAAAACGAAACGCAGCCATAGAAACCAAAAAGTTTACTACATGACACAACCCAAAAATACTATATATATATATATATATACACACACACATATACATGCATATACGCACATATATATAGTATTTATATACTTATATATAGCGTCACGAGAAAAGAAAAATGGCTTGCTTACCTATTACAATGGGATGAATTAAAAGCAGTTCCTGTTTGACAGATTCCCTTCCATGATTTGGGAACGGGTCCCATTCCTTTGTCCCTGAAGCTCTTTGATTCTGGCCACACACCTGAATGAATATCAACACACCAGACTTTTTAGCTATATCACACACACACACATATATATATATATATACACACACATATATGTATATGTATATTCACATGCAATCATATCTCTAGCCCCCTTCTCCATACAATTCCTTACACATTATACCAAAGTCACATGCAATACAGTCACAAGAAAACATAATACAAAAAATCATATCTATAATTTTGATCAATCACAAATTCACATGTCAATGAATTGAAGGCTTTACAGTTATCTCTCCACGTATTTATATTTTTACGCGAGAAATGTAGGGCCTAGCGGATTATTATACATAGGGTTGGTGATAAATATTTAGGCGTTTAATTTTGGGATTTCTATTGGTATATATAGCAGTATTACATTTATATACAGTATATTTACCACTGTCCAAGACGCCAATTATGATGTCCTTGCCATATCCAGCTTTGGGCAACAGGTCTCCACCCATCTTGAAGAAATGGTTTCCATGTCCCTCGCCTTCTTCCAAGCCCGAAAACTCCCACGACCTCGTCGTGTGCGTGGAGTACTTGTTCGGGTCACTCCGCGACACCGAAACCACTTCCCCAAGTTCTGTTCAAATCGAAAAAGAAAAATTTATGAAGCATTTAATTAGGAAATTAAACAGAAAGAAAAAGAAAGAAAGATATTAACAAAATGATTATTATTTTTTTGTTAATTAGTTCTTAATTTACCGGATAACTTGGAGGCTTGTTCAGGGGTGAGAAGCGCCGCGAAGCCATTGATGCTGCGCTTGTAACTGTATAGAAGAGAGGATTTAGCTTCTTCTTCAGTTTCTTTAACGGACATCAAATACGAATGATGATCATCTTCTATCTCCTGCAATGCCTTTTCTCCGCTATGCTCTCCAAAATATACTATGTAAACCTGTGAATGATAATAAGATTACGTATAATTATACATAAAAGATATACAAAAAGAAAATTTTGTTTTAAATTAATGTTGTATATATTATAATACGCTAAGGAAATTGAACCTGTTTTTCTGAGCATGAAGCTAGGAGAGGAATAAGGAGAAGAAAGAGGAAGAAGGAGATTGTGGAAGATTTCTTCATTGTTGTTGAATTGATGATATTGTAAAGGAGAATTGTGATTTTGGAACGGCGATATATATTGGGTAACAGTCTGTCCTTATATATATAGTTTCCGAGTCCTAATCAAATTGTACAGGTTGGAACCTATAATTAGAGATTGTCAAATTATGTGATGGGTTTTTTTTTTTTTTTTTTGAAATTATCTGTTCTGTGGTGGGATTTAATATTTGAAATTCTATATTAACATTATCAATATAATTGGAATATATATGTATATATATATATATTATGGCTATGGTTTAAATATATTACGTTGTTGTTATAGAGTTTCTTTCCAGTGGACTCTTTGAGTGAGTTAGTAGATCAGTTTTATTTTTACTTTTTTTTATTGTCCTTTTAGTTGACTTATGAATAATAATAATAATAATAATAATAATAATAATAAAAAACGTTCGTCGTTAAGGGAAAGTTTGAATAAAATACCAAAGGATCTAGTTTTCCCTACTTTAGAATCTTTTGTTTGTTAATAGGGGAAAGTTTGAATATAGACAGTACATATTTCGTTCGTGACAGCTGTAAGAAACAATTATAATATTATCCTTTTTCAAGGAAAAAAAAAACACTAACTATAAAAAAAAAAGTAAAACCAAATTATGTACCCTTTTCGGAAGATTTTTTTTTTCCTTTATGTATATAGGAATATTTCTGGTCGTTTTATCTTTTGATTCTTCCAAAGGAATATACGTGACTTGAAATTTGAGTAGTTTTTTTTGGGATCAATCCAAAGCATTATACTATGCTAATGAAAATCTAAATACCAGTTCTGAGTATTATGATATATATATATATATATATATTGTTTTTCTTCTCCAGTAAAGCTAGTTTTTAACTATTAGATTTAGTCAAAATCAGATCAGATTAAAATATTATGCGTAATAAACAGTTTTTGATACAAATTTGATAACTGAAAATAAGAAACTATTGTAATTCATTTTTTTTATCCTATTAGAGAAACTCCCATGAAGATCAGTGTGTTTTTTTATAAAACGCTTAGAGATAAGACGTGTTGTTTCAAATTTCTTTTACTAATCACTTTTTTTTTGTGTGTTTAAAATGTTGGTTTAGTCACTAATTTAAAAATATCTTTCCACATGTCCAAGATCAAAACTGTAAGACTTCAACAACTTTTTTTTTGTTTGCATTAAACAATGCAAACAACTTAAACTATTGAATAGCTAGAAAGGCTATTACTTATTCATCATACATTGTAGTTGTATTCTAGATTATGACACGCCAATACGATTTAATACCTTACGATTTAATACCTTTATCGTGTCAGTGAGTTAGAGTTTACCTTAAATGAATTCAGATAAACACATAGTTAGCACAATCAAATAATAGTTTAACTCAAAACAATAACAATTTAAATTTCAAATTGGGTTTCCAACTCAAAACTGAGCCGTTATAATTTGTTTTAAGAAAAAAAGTCATAAACATGTCAAATATTGTTGGAACATTGTGCTTTCGAGTTATTTTATTATATTTGATTTTGTGTTAGGTTATTTGAAAGGAGGTAGTTTGATTTGCTTGCGTAGAAAAATAGGTTAATATATACTAATTCAACTATTGATGGATCATGTTGTGTTGATATGACATGAGTATGATCCATTTATTGAATGGGTTATGCATGAATCATGATGTATCATGTCACTACAATTATAATTGGTTTATTTTAGAGTTAAGGTACTTTGACCTAAAAATTTAAATGGGCCGTGTTCATATTCACGTATATGTGACATGTTGTTATATATAAAGTTTGACAGAATACGTATTCGACCCACTAACACGAATTACCTACTCTAATTTTCAAACATTGGAGTAACTCAGGTTTCAATCAATCAACATGATCAAATATTACAAAGAAATGAGCATTATCATGATAGGGGTTTATTTAAAAATCAAAGTATATATAGTAATACTTGTTATTAGGCCATATTGTAGATTGTAGCTAGCTGCCTAGATACAGAGCAGGAGCAAAACAAGTTGTGGAATGATATAAATACTTGAGTTTTGCTACAATAAAAAGCTCTCAGAAACAGTCACATCTAATTTTTTTGCTACAGTAAAAAGTTCTCACATAAAATCACATCTCAACTCAAATTAAAAACTAGAATAAGCGAACTAAACGGGCTCAATTATGAGCTTAAAAGGACCACGCAACTCAGAAGCGTGCACCAAGTGTTTTGACACTTTGAAAGAAAAATTATTAGTAAACCTCAAATTTTGTCAGCATTTTGGACTTTCAACGTGTCCTAACCGTTTTTTATGTCACATTTTCTACTTTAGTCATGCTCAATATGGATCCCATGCTTTTGAAGAGTGTCACATTTGTGTCAATTACAGGAACGATTTTTCCCCATGCGTACCACTATATATATATATATATATATATATATGCGCGAGCAATTATTCATGTGGCGCCTTTCCTCCCAACAATATCCCTGTGCAATATAGTATATGCAAAATTTAACGCATGATTCGATCAGTAAAGCGCAATCTCTGGAAGAAAGAAGTACCAGAATGGCCGTTAGCCAATGGCCCTCTCATCTCTAGCCTAATTTTGTCCAAACATGTGAAAAGTCAACTTTAGTTTGAATAAGATACTTTATCTTTGGTTTATACACATGGATATTGGATTGGTTGTACATTGTTCACTATTCATGTTAGAAATTAGAGAAGTCTATTTATCTCAATCGGTGTGAATCGAGATTAGATATGGAGTGGGCTTCAAGCGACTCAACCGAGTTGACAGTTATGGGACTCACTGTTTGCGTAATCCTAACTCAACTCAAGTTGGGATGAATAGTATTTTTCTAAGTATTAAAACCCTACTAATTTACTAAAATCTTCTAATAAAAATAGAAAGTTTTTTTAGCAACAAATCTTTTCCAATGAATGGAAATGAATTTCCATTCATTGGGAAAAAGATCCTTTTTTTCTTATGAAAAACAATCCATTTCGTCGGAAAAATACAATAATCCACCCATTTTTAGGAAAATTTTTGCAGGAGATTCTTATTATTAGTAATGAAATTATGTTTTTCATCCGAAAATTCATGACAGGACAATTTTCCACCGATCTAATGTCAAATATGGCCTAACTAATCACCAATTAAATAATGTTTTCATATATATGAAGGTGTTTTTGTGTCCTGTGGTTGCATGAATATCTTAAGGTAATTTCACACCTGACTCCGTTATAAGATTTAGAGTTCGGATTTTCTCACCCCAAATTAAAACAAAAAAAAAAAAAACAGAGATAACAAGATAAAACAAGGTTATCTTCATGTATTATTTTGAAAACAAACAAAACAAAAAGAAAATCCCGCCTTTGTTTTCTTAAGCACACAAAATCCACAACTAATATTAGGTTTCGATTTCTCTCTCTTTCTCTCTCACACAAACCAGAGAAAAAATAGTGAACGATGGCCGGAGTTCTGGGGCCGCCTCCAGACGGGTCGCCGGGCTCCCGGTCATGAAATTTAGTCCTCCGGCTCGCCTCGTCGCGAGCTTCTCATTGGTGCTGGCAGTGTATGGTATGGTGGCTTTGTATGGATGGATCTAAACCGGTTTGGAGCTTGAAAGCAGAACGGAGGGACTTCGCTTCCAAGTGAGTTTCTCATTTGGTGGCTGAGATCTCTTGGCCGGCTATCTCCCTTGACGGCCTACTGGCCGGTTGCCCTTGCCCTTCACCGGAGGCTTCTAACGGCGCTGGTCAGAGGTTTTTTCTGTTTTTTTGATGTAATTTTCATGTTTGTAATAAGGGTAGTGGTCTCACTATTCGACCCTCGTTTGTTTTGCTATTTGTTGTTAGTTTTTGGTGATCAGTTTAGGGCCGTTTGTATGTCTCCTGTTAGGGTTTTTTTGGTATGGCTAGAATTTTTTCATACCGTGTAGATATCTCCTCTTTGTGGGGTTTGACGATCTGTCCCTGTAGCGCTCAAAAGCCTATCTCGATGGGATGGGTTTCTTCAATTTGAGATTTTTGTGTGCTCATTATTAGTGTGCTGAGGTGTTCTCTCGTTTTTGATCCTCAAGCATGCGTCCATTCTTCTAATGAGTCATTAGTATTGTATCAAGACATCTGTTTATCAGTTTTTAATTAAATGTAATTTCTCTTAAAAAAAATCAAAGAAGTTATATTAGGGTTTTTTGAGGCCAATATTATCCTCATTAGAAGATTTTAAACTGTGTAGCGTGAAATAATTTAATTTTCTCTTTTTTATTTATATGAAGAAGGAAGAATCCAATTTCCTTTGTAATATTTACTAAATTTAGAAATAAAAATCTTAGCAATATAATTAGTAAAAATCCTTTTACATAATTAAATAATTATTAATTTATAACATATAAACTTATAAATATAAATATATATGAATAAATTTGACATTCATTCATTTTAATCAGAGTCACTACTTAAATTCTCGTTCCTCACAGTAATGAGGCACAATAAACACTCGTTACTGAGAAAGAGGATAATTTTCTTTTCATTTTCATGCCAAGGAAAAACATTCTTAGTCGAACGGAATGAATCAATCATTAAATGTCACAACCGACCTTGAAGATCTTTTTTTATTTATTTTTTATCTTCTTTTAAGGGGAACCTGGAAAGTTGTAAACCACCAGTCATCACTTTTCAGTTGCAACACGTTGCTTTGATATTACAGCCACTTTCAGATATTTTTCCCCACTAGTTTTCTTTATTCTCTTTTCAACGCATCAAGATTAAGAAATTCTTGATTTTGGACCTTAGCTTTCGGCAGTGTCGAAATACTTGACCAAAAAGGAATAAAATTTCTTTCATCTATAGATACGGTCACTTAGACGCATGACATGCATATTGAAAATAAAAAGATTTGTAGATAAGGGAAGAAAAGAAGAGAATTGATATTATATGTCTGCATGCAAGAAAACGACATGAAATACGTCCATTTCAGGATTGTCAAAACTTTGGGCCTCTCCACTTTTGGTACATAGTTGAAACTTCATGTCTATTTCAGAATGAATAATCTTAATAAATACATTTTAAAAGTACACGAGTTAAGATTTTTATTTTTTATTCTTAATTTATAACTTTTTTTGTTAAATAATCACACTAATAAAAGAGTATTTATCAAAAGTAAAATGTAAAGGTCTAGACTCATGTATTTTTATGAGTAAATTCTCCATTTTTTCTTTCAGAATTTATCTAGATACGTCTCTTCTTTTAATCTCAAAAGTGAAGCCTCAAGTATGCATGTTGTTGCATGTTGTTCTCACTTGTTTACTACTAGGAATTGAGTTTTGTGGTAGGGTATATTCCTTCTCGTAAATTACTTCATATCATAAAAGAGCGGGCAACCCATAAAGTACAAAGGCGGAGCCAGAAAATGTTTTTAGGAGGGACGTGAAGTAAACTAAAATTTTAACTAAAACGACAATATAATAATTTTAATTTAGTTTAATACACTTTTGTAGTTTTACAGTGGATTTATATAATATTATGGTTGATTTTTGGATTATTTAGTATCTTAAATGTAAAATATGAATAAGTTGCCAAACTTTAGGGGTATAACTGAAACTTTTCTAAAAATATGAATACAAATATTGTAAATACAAAATTTTAGGGGGGCAAATTAGGAGAAACTTTGTAAAAAGAAATTTTTGTTAGGCTTGAGTTGTAATGGTAAAGGAGCCATATGGGCCGTGGGGCATCTGCCCCAGGCCTGACGTGGCTCCGCCACTGCCCATAAAGTGCAGGTCAGACCCAATCCATTAGGGTCAGGGCGGGCTGCAGCACCATTTTCCCCGCCCCATTAACATCCTACATATGGATTTCAAATTAAACAATGCGCGAGTGAATACAACAGCTGGTGAAAACGTGACATTTTTTCTTCTCGTGCAATTAAATTGAATAGAATTTCTAGTTAAAATAGTAGTTTACTCTACTCAAACTCTAAATAATAATTCATTCCGACGTCAGTAAAGCTTGCGCGTCAAATGCGTAGATTTCGTGTTCACTAAGAAAGGGTATCGGTTGAACATATAGAGCGTCAAAGTATCATCCTTTAAAAAGAAAAACTTGAGAGGGGCAAAAAGTTTAGGAATGAATTAAGCAGGTAAAAGCAAGATCTATATATATTTTTTTCTTTTTTCTTTAATTTCTTTCATATTGTTCAAGTATCAATAAAGAATATCAGTAATTTTCCTGTGTCTACAAGATAGTCATGTGAATTGTGGACATTGGAAAAAGTCTTAACACCGTAGTGATGTATATCCAAGGAATGAAAATAATCTTCTATGATTGTGAAAAGGAAACTGACAAATGTGGATATCAACGCTTAGCCCGTTTGGTTTATGGATTAGAATCATGAGATTAGAACTATTTTTGATTTACGTGTGTTTTTTTTTAGAAAAAATACTGTAACGAACTATGAATCATAATTCAAATCAGAGAACGAATCCTCCAACCAAACGAGCTATAAGAATCCACTTACACAGTAGAAGAAACACTGGGATCAGGGGATGTAGAATGAATTAGGGAGTTATGCTCAGCCAGCTCCTTTAAGAGAGTAACGACATCGTCCGACGACCCGAGGAGGTACCGTGCACTAGAACGTTTTCGTCCGACCGAGCAAGAGAAGTAATTATCCCCCTTGAGATCAAGCACGGAAGAACCCTCGTGCAGAGACATTCTGTCGCGCCATGTCGGCCTCCATGCAGCATTCGTACTACTCCCTTGGTTGTTTGCTTTCTTCTCTAGAGTAGACATGGATCGTTGTTTGTTAAGGCGAAACGACTTGGACCCGCCTTTTCCGGCCGAAAACTTTGGCATTGGTGGAGTTACGGAGTTCGTCACTGTGGCTCTTGGTGTAGATGGTGCCTCAGAAGGTAGCTCTGGCTCAAAAAATGTGTAGACATCTTCATCCTATACAAATATATCCAAATGCATAAGACCCTTGTTTCCATTTGTCTTGAGGTATGTTTCCATTTGTCTTAAGATATGGAAATCATTTTTCTTTCTTCTTAAGAGTTAATCTCATCTGTGCCCTCCTAAACTTTAGGTAATTCCCAGTTTTCCTCTCGAACTCGAACTCTTAACTCTCCTTTATCTATTGAATTTTGAATTAGTCCCGCTATTTTTGTTAGAGTTTCTATTAGAAATAGACGAAAAAAGAGGACGCTAAGACCACATGACCGCAATACCCCTTTTTTCCTGTCTATTTTCAACTGAGATTCTAGCAGAGGGATTAAATGAGACTAGTCTAAAATTTAAAGGCCAAAGTGGGAGTTTTTAAAGTTCAGAGAGTAAGGTGAGAATGATCCTATAATATGAGGAGAATTGGTAAGAATAATCCTTTTTCTAATCAAGATCAGGAAATGTTTGTGACAAAAAGAGTTGCTTATAGTGTAATAAATGAACACGAAAAGAGAGAGAAAGAGAGAGCGAGAGAGAGAGAGACCACCTTAGGGAGAAAGTGGCCAATACACAGTACATAATCAATAGGTGCCTTCAAGCCTTTGTTGTGCACTATTTCTCCTAAGATACGATCAATTGCCGCTCCCTGTAAACGGGATGACCACATCAGAAGAGAAGGAAATAATGCGTTTTCTTTTTTATACATTGAACAACTGGAACATAAAAACTTTGTGACTCCCATTACGGGCTAGACCTTCAAAATCTTCAGCTTCAGGCTACTATGCTTTTCATTAAATCAGTGACAAACTATCAAGGTCCGTCATAAAAAATGCATAGTACCTTGGTGACACCGACTGCTCGGACCTCCACAGATCGGCTACCCTGGACGACATCGACAGATGCATTCGAGATCGGCCCTGTCCAAAGATGCTGCAGCATGTCCCTTGCTTGAAGCCTTCCAAACTCAACATCTAATAGTATGAACTAACTCTTAAAAGAAATGAAAGGTACAACACCATCACAAATATTTAACAGCAACTAGAGAAGGATGAGAAAAGAGGATACTTTTTGTGTTGTTTGGTACCTGCATACTTGTAGTTCCATACAAGTGATGTTTCACGGAGCTCGAAATGAGATCGGGGGGTTCTTTCGGTGAAATACTCGAACACATGCTGAAATAATCTCAAACAAGAAAGAGAAGTCCAAGTTGAAAGAGAATTCATTGAGAGAGGATATGTCATCACTTGGTTTTGTAAACAAACCTTCACGCTGTCAACCCATTCCATGTTTAAGTTTTCTGGCATTGTTGTCATCCATTCCCCCGTTGTAAGACGAAGAAACATTCCGTTTTCTGCTGCCAGCCACATATGAAAATCACCAAAGTTCTGCCAAAGAAAAGAAAATGTTGATTCAAGTGCATAACGAGCAACGCACAGAATAACGCACTTTCAAAGAAAAACCGGAGTACTTCATCAAGGACGGCTCTGTCACTTCCGCTAAGGACTACAATTGTTGTCTTGGGATCATCAGAGAGCTTCTTCAATGGTTCTTTGAGATCTGGGTGCAATTTAAGCTCCATTTCTCTTATTTGACCACCTCTCCTCCCAAGGGCACCAAGTGGTTCAGTTAAAGTGGCATTAAATCCCTGTAGTAAGATGGAAGACTTAAGAAACCGAGCTAATTTAATTGCCAGAACGAAAAGCAAAATCCTTGGAAATCAACACTAATTCATGAACTTCTAAAGATAAAATTATGACAATAACATGGATAGAACACAACCTATGGTGAAGAAATGAGAAGGGCCTGATTCAAAAGATAAGACCAGAGAGAAGAAAATGAATGAAACCTTGAATACTTTGCAAAAGGAAGCTGTAGGTTAATCATAAAAGATTGAAATATTTGATTTGAGCTTCAAAAACTATATGTACTATATATTCATATTTCTCACATCTCAGCACCTTACAAGTTTTACTTCACCTGCTCTACTGAGAACTTTGATAACTAAGCTAAAGCCCGGAATTGATTATTGATGTATACCAGTATAAGTAATCGGTTATTGGATTCCAAATAACGATCAACAGCTTCTTTCATTGGAAGCAGAGGTGGAACTTGTCTAGTCCTTAGTTGAGCCTCCACAATAGTATCATTGAGTTCACTTCAGAAAAGAAGAATGCAGAATTTAGAATGAAAAAGAAAAAAGAAAAAAGAAAAAAATCCACTGCATCACCAAGCTATGATCATACCTAACAAAGGTTGCGGCCCATTCTTGAGATGTATGAGTAGTTACATACATGAAGTTATGCTGGTGTCTCTTTTCTCTTTCATCAGCTGGCATGTTTAAAGCGTAACCTATGGAAGCAGCAACTTCTGTTATGTTCCATGGATTTACTAAGATTGCCCCAGCACCGAGAGATTGTGCCGCACCTGCAAACTAAGTATAATAGAAGAATTGTGGAAAGAGGGGGTTGAAGATAAATTACAAGCCAATACATTTTTTATTCATACAATAAGCTATGTTATATTCAGAAAATGAAGCTAATTCACCATGTTTTCACTTGAAATATTAGAAAATCATCACTTAAGTAATGCATACTCTGCTGAAACTTTTTCACGTGTTCAAAAGCGTATAAGCACTGCATGGATATCAGGCAAGGTTAGCTCTACCAACAGTACAAACTAGGTGAAATGTGTTGTGTACTATATCCGACATAAGCAGGAGATGCATGCTCTTCCATAACAGTGATAAAAAATGCTTTTTATTGATCTCTGATAGATCGAACGGATGAGAATGCCGACATGTTATTTAAGCTATACTTATCTTTATTCCTAAGCTCAACCAAGCGTAGTCTTTTGAGAAGAATCCGAGTCTAATGAGTCAATAGTCTGAGCCTTTCATTTCAACCTCTAGTATCATTTAGTGAGCAAGAAATGTGTACTGCTGTGTGAATGATATATTCATAGATGTTTGATATTCCTATGAATGTCGGACTCTGCTGGTATCCTCTTTGGACTTTGCCCCCAGTATCTTTCAAACAGAGAGCCCTGTAGAGCTCTAGTTTTTCCTTTTTCCTTGTTTTATTTTCCATAAGAATGATCTTTATTTGGTAGCCAAAGAATTTTCGTAAAGAAAGAAGAAGATAGCTTTTCACTCTGTCAAAATGGACCAAAAAGAATCACATAGAAACACGGATAACTGTAATTACCTCACTTAGAATGAGAACCCCTTTCTTTGACGCTTGGCAAGCAACAAACTCATAGCTCACGAGATTCATTCCGTCCCTCAGCGAAGTAACAAGTGCCACATCTAAAGATGAAAAAAGTCAAACAAATTAAATTATATACATATAAGTTGGAAAAATACGCATCTTGACTGGTTACCTACTGCATGCTAGTTAGATAAAGAACTTAAATTGTATGTTTAAAAACACCAAAGTACAAAAACGAAATTTTAATCTTTTTCCAATGGCCAGAAGAACAGGAATGTGAATCTACTTTGTAAAGACTTGCCATTTATTTTTAACTTGCATCAGTAACCAAATCCTGAAATACATCAGTGACCAATGCTTTGGATTTATTAGACGACATCTTAACTTGTAAACCTCTCATCCAATTGCCTTTTTGTTAATTCAAAGGTTTTCTTCTCTCTACTTTCTCTTCTTCTTCTTTTCTTTCTTTTTTTTTTTTTTTTTTTTTTTTTTTTTTTTTTTTTTTTTTTTTTTTTTTTTTTTTGTAGTGCCATTTTGGGGTTTCTCTTTTAGCCTGGCACAAAATATGAAAGGCTTTTTTTTATTATTTATTTTATTTTTATTTTTTTATAGCTGTACCTTAGTCATCTGATTTTGGAGTCACAACAGAAGTATGAGAACAATTTATCTATCTTGAAAGACAACATTCATTAATGGCTGTGAGTGTTGCGGCAAAAAATGAGTACCAGTAACAGCGTATAGTGCACACAATGCGTGAAAATCGAGAGATCGATCCTGTAAATACAAAACAAAATGTTTTAGCATTCTTGACATGATCAATGAACAATAATAGTTGAAAACAGCGGAATGTTAATGAAGAGATGTAGAAATATGACCCATAGAACATTTTGTCTAAATATTTGTTTCAAATCTTCAATTTACAGAAAAGGACAAACAACAGAAGACAAGATAACATATTACACTGTTCAAAAGAAATTCTACGTTTATCTATCTTTCTAGTTGTGGTCATCCATATCCAAAAATGTCATTAGAAAGTTCACTAAATGATAAGAACCGATGAATAATTTCTTTTGAATACCTCTAGAAAAAACCTTCTATTATTTTTTTCCTGAATGTATAAGTTTCACTTTGAAAAAGTTCTGACAAATGTATAATCAGGAGTTAATGTAAGGACAAACCAAATGGTGTATGGGGACGGCAGTAAGAGTTCCGAATCTTCCATTAATGCGTCCCACAATCTCATGAACTTGGCTTGTAAGCTTTTGATCTGACATTTAAACAAATAAAATAAACTGAATAGTTTCTTCAAGGTAACATAAAGTTACTTGACTAAACTAAGACAAAGGAGCATCTCTGATCTCCTGAGACATAGAAACCCACACAGGAATCCAAGATTTAATCATAAATAAGAGAACCAAATTCGAAGTAGGAAAATATCTTAATAATGAACATACACTCTGGAACATCTGTTCTTGTTGGCACTGCAATTTGGAGCAGAACGACTTTGTCACGCCAGTTAGGATTTTCCTCGAGGAACTTCTCAAATGCCAAAATCTTTTGTGGAATTCCCTTAATCATGTCAAGACGATCAACGCCTAACATCACCTTCCCAAAGTTGAATGACAATGGTAAGTAACTAGCACACATAATAAGCTGATTTATGAAAATATCAAGGAGAGTGTGAATTAAATATTCAAGACCATACAAGGAATTAATCAAAACTGAGAACAAATCATGTGGAAGCATAAGATCATCGACATCTCAAAACAGCCGAACTCACTAATAAAACATATACAAAATTGCAAACACTGAGATATGAGAAGTACCAAAAAGGGTGGTTAAAAAACCATCTAGCAAAGATGAGGAAAAAGAAAATTAAGTAAAGGTGGAAAATCAGCTATTGAGATGGTATGGAAGAAGAATTTCATGCTAACCAATTGGCCAACTCATTCCAGCAACATAATTTGATCAATAAAAACAGATTAAAGACAATTTTTTACTTTTGAAATTGCAGGAGAATTTGAAAGGAAGAGTTTCTAAGTTTAGAATAGTGCAACTATTAGCAGACAAAGAAGCTAGCACTGGGATGTACACTTTACTAACTATCCAATATTCATTACACTCTTCTCATTTCCCCCTTTTTTTTAAAAAAAAAAAAAAAAAAAAAAAAAGAAACTAGACATACTGGTTCAAAATTTTGATGTACTTTACTTTTAATGAAGCAGGAAAATCTGTTTGCGGTTTTCTCAAAGGAAATAGATAAATAAACAAGCTCTACCTTCCTGCCAGCAAATCTTTCTTTCAGTTCTTTCATGTGCTCCTGGACTTGAGGGATTTCTAGGGCTCGTACGAACCGATCAGAGTCTATCCCAATAGGAAACTGTAGCTCATGGTCCAAAATGGAAGAAAAGAATGTGGGAATCACAAGAAATTACATAACGAAAACTGCAATATGAAACTGCTATTTTAGAGTTCTAAATGTTAGCAAAAGGACATAAAAGGCATGACCAGCTATTTATACCGCAGCAACACGAGTCAGCTTTCCTTGATCCTCTACTCCTTCCGGTGTACCCTCTAGCCCAAGTATACGGGTGCAAGCACTCACGAAATGCCTTGCATAATCATACGTATGGAAACTAGGAGTCAAAGAATCCAAACAATTGTGAACATGAGAATAAGATATTAAGATCGTTTAAGTACTCAAAAGTAAAATATTAGCTATCTGATTATCATGCAGCAAAATAAAACGACTCACCCAACCAAATCAGCAGCAAGAACAGATCTTAACAGCTCCGATCGAGATGGCAGTGTCCTATGAATTTCCGAGGAAGGAAACGGTGTGTGGAGAAACCAACCGACTTTCATATTGCTGTTATATTCTTTCAAACATTTTGGAAGAAACATTAGATGATAATCATGGCACCACACAACATCTCCCTCCTCATAATGCTGGTTTACAACATCAGCAAACATTTGGTTTGCTCTCTTGTACGCATCAAACTGAGATTGGAAACTACGGGTGGTTGCAAGGCGGTCTTCTTGTGGAAGCCCAAGATAATGGAAAAGAGGCCACAAGATGTTGTTACAGTAACCATTGTAATATTGATGAACAATCTCTTCATCAAGGAATACCGGTATGCACCTCTGCAGTCAACAAATAGAACTATCAAGCGAAAGCACTCCTGGTCTGAATGTGTCTGTTCTAATAAGGGAGAAGCGGAAGAAGGCTGAAAGGGAAAGATGTTATGCTTATGATAAGATTAAGTTCCAAAAAACCTCAAGATTTGAAAAATTTTGAACCTTTTCGGCTAAAGCTTTTGTTAGTGCCTTTTGTCCAATTTCATCAGGCACATTTACACCAGCCCAACCAATCCATCTAGCATCAAACTCCTTCACTCCTTCAAGAATAAACCAGGTTTAACTGAGTTTTCATTTACAAGTAAAGGAAATTTGTGAATTAAAAGAACCAGAAGATGTGTAAAATCTTGTCATTATTGGAATATATCTAAGTTATTATGCAACTTATTATAATAATAATTGCAAGATTTATATGTATTCGTAAGACAGAAGGCAAAGATTAACAGGAAAGTACCACAAGAGGATTCTAAGGCACCATTCAAAACAGAAGTATTGATAATCATTTTACCTAAAAGCGCACTGACTAGCCCGCCAACACTTATCTCTAGTTGCCATGAGTCCTCACCCCTCCGGACCGCAGAGACAGGTAGCCTGTTGGCTACCACCAACAGACGTTGTTTCAAAGGCTGCCCTTCTTGCCTTTCGCATCCATCAAGAAAAGCTCTTGTGGCCGCCCCTTCTGAAAGCTCTTCCTCATGAGGCGAACCCAAATTGTCACCCTCAATAATGACTGCATCATTCCCAAAGAGTTCAGCCTGCAATCTGCTGCTGTCCCTTCCCTCTTCATTCGAATGGATAGACCGGTTCGATTTCCTTAACTCTCTTTCCC